ATGTCTTTTTTGTTGTTTTTGGTTTTTTGCTTGTTTTCTTTTTAGACACGATCTCCCTGTAGCTCTAGTTGGCCTGGAACTTGTATTGAGCAGGCTGGCCTCCATATCGCAGAGATCTACCTGCCTTTGCCTCAGGAGTGCTGGGATTAAAGGCATGCACCACCATACCCAGCACCCAAGGGTGCCTTAGTTGGCTTCTCCAAGCTCTTCTTGACCATTTATGAACTCTCCATAAATTTTAGAATTTTCTCTGAATGAACTAGAGCCAAGATTGTAAGTGAATGGCTGAAGTGGAGAGGGTTGCAGAATTAGATTCTCTTTCTTTCACTCCATCCCTTCTAAATACATCCCTGCCCATTCCCAGTCTTGGGAACCCTCAGTTCATATTTGCTGAATCCTAATTTGCTCAGGAGATGGTCCCATGAAAAAGATGGCAACCACATCTAGACCTTCCATGCTTGGTACCCACATCCGATGCTAGTGATGCCACGAAACTTGAGGGTCATATGAACAAACACATGTCCATGAGAGAAGTGGCCCAGAGAGGCCAGGGTTTTGTCAAATATCTCACAGTTTCATGACTGACAACTGACTGCTCTTTGCCAAATCACTCATCCAGTTCAGAGTGAGCTGAACCATGGCCCTACTGTGTACCTCATAGCTGGCCCCTTGGCTCCCTGGGGTGGTCCCTGGGGCTCCCAGGCTGAAGTGTTGGCCCTCTGAGCTTGGACATTCGGGGCCATATCCTTGCCCTGGGTAGAGCCCTCCATTTGGGCTGACTTTGGGTGATTCACAGTGTGCTTGTTCCCATTCAGCCCTCCGTGTACTTCCATCCTGCCTTCTTCCCTTTTGTGCACCTTCGTCAGGAGTCTGGAGGGAACCCAGTGTCATGGAAAGCCGAAGAAAAGGGTGGTACAGCCCGAGGAAGACCTCTCCGAACAGCATGTGAGTGGCCACTTCCTGGTATTGTCCCTTGTCCCCCGCCCACTTCATCTCCCCAAACTTCCATTCGTCCATCAAATATTTATTGAGCATCTCTTGTGTGCTTGTTGAAGCAGTAGGCTACAGGCAGGCACTAGACTAGCATGACAAATCAGCAAATATCCCTTTGAAAATGCATGTCCCTTCCTTAAAGGTATTCTCAGTAGTGAGAAGGAATGAGAAACCCAATTACTGACATTACTAGGGGAGCACAGGAGAAGGTCAGGGAACTCTGGTTGGATAGGGGGTGTTGGGGGGAGGCTTCCTGAAGGAAGTGACGTCCAGGCTGATTTGAAGGATAAGAAGCATTCCATGATGCAGTGGGGTGGAAGAGGAAGTATGTTCATGCTGAGGGGACTGTTTCTACAAAGGCAAAGAAGGATCCCACCTCCTTGTGGGGACCTAGTGGTGCCCTTACCCTGGGCAGGGGGCCAAGATCATCCGCATTATCCCTGTGGCTTCCTGTCCTTTATGAGGCTCTATGTCTCAAAGCACCTCTGTTTTTGCTCAAGATTTGCTTCTGAACTTTGTCCCCAGATCTGAGTTGGGGACGCCACCTGCTCAAGTAGGCACACTATTGGGGAACAGTGGGCACATGTCAGTAGATCTGGATCAGGGGGTAACTAACTCCAAGAGGCTCTGGCATTCCAGGAGAGGGACACTATAAGCATGTGCTTAGCAGCCTGCTGAGCTGGAAGGCTGAGCTGCTTGTTAAACACAAAGAATGCACAGGCTGGAGGGGTCTGCAAAAGCTGGTCTGACCTTGGAAGGGTTGGTCAGAGCCACAGGAAGAGAAAGCAGTGCTGGGACTAGCCAAGACCTTGAAACATTATGTACCTTCCTAAGAACCAAGAGGGAGGCTTCTCTTCCCAGCTAACCCTCCAGCTCACAAGCAAGCATTGGCCCAGTGGGAAAACAGCAGCCTCGTGATGGCCTGGAGGAGGGTGGTTGTGGGGATGAAAAGAGGTGGGAACCTGGGGGAGGGGAGCAGTTATGTCATAAACAGCTTCAGTGAGGAAAGGGATGCTGGGGTTCTGGGACAGGAGACTCTGGAATTGAACCTGTCTCCATGTTGCCAGCAATCCCTCAGTCTGTAGCAAAGCACTGCTCCCAGGACAAGGAAGCCAGGCCACAGTGGGCAGATCACCTGGAAGGGTGATGCAGGAGCACAGCTAGCTAGTGAGGCAACAGAATGAACAACTAGTTCTGAAGTGCTTCCCAGAAGCAGTGTGTGTGTGTGTGTGTGTGTGTGTGTGTGTGTGTGTGTGTAAAAGAAGAAGAAGGGGTGGAAGGAAAAAAGAGGAAGGGAGGGGCAGAGGAAGAGAGGGAAAGTGTCGCAGGAACTCCAGGCCTGACCGAGAAGAACCCTGAAGCAAGGAAAGCAGGCTCCTGGGCTGGACTGGGCCATTCAGGTCAGAGGGCTGAGAGGCTGCTGTTTGATGTGGTTGCTGCTGCTGCTGCTGCTGCTGCTGCTGCTGCTGCTGCTGCTGCTAGTGGTGGTGGAAGCTCAGAGTGAGGGATGGCAAGGGGCACAGAATAGGCCACTGGCATCTCCTTGCTTTGCTGCTAAGAGAAACCAGTCTCAGGGATCTGGTATTAGAAGTTGGGCAGAGATCAAGCAAACACGTTAGAAACTCCCTAGTCCCAGAGCTAGTGTGTGGCTGCATTTAGCAGCAGAGGAAGGTAGAGCTGAGGGTCCAGGATAGTCCCAGTCAGCCCTGGGAAGACCTGGCACCTGTCACAGTTGGGGCACAGTGCAAATTGGAATTTAATGGTGAGCCACCCCTTACGTCAAGAATATTTCATTACCCAAGCATAAGGAGGAGAGTAGGAAGCAGGTGCATGAATACCCACTCATTACCTAGATGGGAATGAGGGGCCACCAGGGTCCCTGCATACTGCCTTAACAGAGAAGGCTGCAGAGGCCCCTAGACAGCAGGGGGTGAAATACAGCTGGGGCACCTTGATGAGACTGAGGAGCCTGAGGAGGAGGGCTCCACTGGTTTTTGAGGAGGAAGGGCTTGGTGGAAAACTGCCATGTCAAGAGAGGACTGAGTGGGCTCTGACTAGGAACACCGGAGACATGAAGGGATGGGAAGACTGCAGTTTGAAGAAAAGCTGAAAGGGGGGACTGTGTGTAGAAGCAGCGTTGGGAATCCAGGCCTTCTCCCCAGCCAGGTGCTGGCTGTCCCTGAGCCACTTTACTGAATCTGAGCAGGTTTATAATTTCATGTGATGCTTGCATTGGTCCAACACCAGACCCCAAACCTACATCTTAGAAACTCCATGGTCCAGCCTGGTGGAGGTCCCCAGGCTGAGCTGGCTTTCTCTTCCAAAGGGAAAAGGCATTGGCTCCAGGGTTACAGGCTCAGGAGTGTGCCCACTGCTCCCCTGATTTTGTGCAGAGGGAGCTTTGTTTTCCTACCCCACAATGCACAGGGAACTTACATACTGCTAGCACATGTGAAAGGTGATACCAGCAGGCAGCCAGCACTCAGGTGTCTCTCTGGAACTAGGTGAAAAGACCAGGATATGGGGGGCGGTCTGTCTTGCTGTAGGAACCCAGAGAGGACTCATACTGAGCTTCCTTTCAGTGCAACCACTCTTTGGAGCATAGAAGATAGATGGGGCAAGATTCTTCTGTGCCAAACACAGGGGGAAGAACACACCCAAGCAAAGTGTAGCTTCTCTCCTAAAAATGTACTTGACTAGCATTTCCTGTTTATGGAGGGTGAGCCTGAACATGAAACGTAAAGTAGCACCCTCAGTCACAGTCAGCCTCTCCAGCACTGGAAAGGAGTTGGGGGTTCGGGAGCATCCTCCAACAGTTAAGTACCTGCGGTCATTGATTGAGCAGGCCAGAACGCACACTTATCACAAACCCCATGATGGATAACTTTCAGTCATATGCCCTCACAGATGAGAGGCATACTTCAGACAATACAGATCATTTATTTATTTATTTATTTATTTATTTATTTATTTATTTGAGACAGAGTCTCACTATGTACTCCAGGTTGGCCTGAAACTTTCCATTCTCCTGCCTCAGCCTCCTGAGCGCTGGGATTACAGGTATGTAATCAATTTTTGTTTGATTTTTTGTTGGTGTTGCTAAATTTTTCTTCATCATATTTTGCATAAACTAATATCAAAATGGATCTGCATTCTCAGAGCACAAGTTGGAAGTGTGATGGAGGAGGTTGAGTTGGGAGGCATGACAGTCTGGATTTTAAAAACTGTCGGGAGGTAACTGCCAAACTGATAACACAAGGAGTGGTCTAGTGTGATTTCTAGCAGTCTAGACCATCCTAACAAAGCCAGCTTTGAAAAGGGAAGCAAGCTTCTAGGGCTGGAGAGATGGCTCAGTGGATAAGAGCAGTGGCTGCTCTTGCAGAGGACCTGAGTTCAATTCCCAGTACCCACGTGGTGGCTAACAACCATCTATGTAATGCTCTCTAACATCTGCAGGTATTGCACAGGTGCACTTACACACATATAGGCAATACACTCATACAATAATGAATTTTAAGAAAGAAAAGGGAAGCTTCCACCTGATGGATAGAATGGATGGCATTAGAATCATTCTATTTTATTTTAGCTCTTTGATTTTTGGAGTCCAGGTCTCATTTTGTACCTCAGGCTGGCCTTGAATTCATGGCAATCTTCCTACCTCTGCTTCCCATGTACTGGGATTACAGGTATGAGACATCACACCTGGCTTACCCGCATCCCTTCCAGGGCGCACCAGGATACCTCTGCATTTCTTCCTGGTCTCCTGGGGGAAAACGTCGTGGGAGTCCTGCGAGGTTTTGCGCCTGGCCAGGTCAGGAGGGACTTGAGCTGGCCACCAGCCTTGGCTCCCTGGGAAGAGGGAGGAGGCGGGGCGCGCGCAGGAGAGGAGAGAAGGGGCGGGGCGTATCGCAGGCGTGGCCTCCAGGCATCCAATCCGCTTCGCTCCCCGCCTTTTCTCCGCCCCCCCGCCCCTTTCCACCAACGGCGCGCCGCGGTGGGCTGTCCTCGTCCCGGCTGCGGTTCCTGGGTGCGATTTTTTTTTTTTTTTCTTTCCTTTTTTCTTTTTTTTTTTCCCTTTCCTTTTTTGTGAATGAAAAAAGGAGGTCGCGAGCGGTCCCCGGGACTGCGGCTCTCGGCGTCTCCAGGCAGCGCCCGTGCGGCGCCGGCCTCACCCCGCGCCTCGCACTCCCGCGCGAAAAAAAACGCCCGCAGCCTCCGCAGCACAGCCGGGCGGCGGCGCGGCCCAGCTGCCTGAGGTCGGAGCGACGGCGGCGGCGACGCGCAGCCGGGCTCAGCGCGCCTCCATGACATTGGGCGCCCGGGGCGCGGGGAGATGCTGATCCGGAAGAGGCAGTGGCTGCAGTGCAGCGCGCGAGGCTGCTCGCGGGCCGCGGGCCGGCCGGGGCTGCTCTGCCAGAGTTTCTGATCCAGCCGGGCCCCGGAGGCTGGAACCCCAGCGCAGCGCAGCGGCCGCGGCGGCGGCGCCCTAACTTGCACCCGCGGAGTGACCCCAGGCATCTCACTAAAATGAGCGTGCTCGGCAGGAAGAGATGTGTTCCCTACACTAGAAATTACCCCGTCACATGTGGTGGTGTAAGTAAATGATTTCTATTATGGCCGGGTTGCAAGCAGTCTCTGCAAAGGCAACGACTCGCCTTCGCGCTGCCTCCCGCGCCCTCCCCTCCCCTGCCTGCGCCCCTCCTGCCTTCCTTTGGGCTCCGCTGTCCCTTTGGGTTCTTGCCTAGGAAGCTCGGCTCCGAGGGGCGAGGAACTAACCTTTTCCTGGGTGTTTCTAGGGAAAAGAAGATGTCTTGCTTTGACGTGTCGCGCCCCTCCCCCTTCCTTATTTATTTTTAAATTGTGTGTGGTGTGTGTGTGTGTGTGTGTGTGTGTGTGCAAGGCAGCGTGTCAAGGGAAAAATAAGTTGAGAGTGTTGTGGAAATATTTCCTTTTTATCTTTTTTTTTTTTAAAGCTCATGAAATTTGGGTGTTTTGGTGACGGTTGTGGAGATGTTTCTTTGAAGTCAACTCCATCGTGATCCGCCCAGCTGAGTTTTGGCAAACTACTGGTGGAAATCCTGAGCTTTGTTAATATTGGGTATCGTAGAATTGAGAAGGGTTATCTTGTATTTAGGCTTGTATTTTTGTTAATATGTCCTTTCAAGATCCCTTTGGGCCTTGCTTTACGTTATCTGCGTGGGGAGGATCCATCTCTCCACCTTCGCCCATATTACAATGTCAGCATCCCCGGTGGGAGCTCCTTTAATTCCCAATCCACCCTTTGTTCTTTCCTCTCCTCCGGATTCTCCCTTCCTATCCACCTTCCTTGATTTTTATCTTCATCGTCTGGATTTTCCTCCCTTTCACATTTTGTGAGATGCAGGATGTGGGATATCGGTTGCTAGGAGACAAGCCAGGCTCCCAGGGAGATTCTGTCGTTTCCTTGACAACCAGACTAGGGCAGCCACAGATGAACAAGCCTCCTATCAGCTGTGGGAGGGAAAGGAGGCCTTTTTGAGCTCTGCAAAGAGTGTGTGTGTGTAGGGGTGTGGGGGTGGGAATGGGAGCCCACGAGGTTTGTAGCTAATCCGAGCACACCTTCGCATCTGCCCTGGACTGAGTACAAAGAACCAGGAAAGCAGATGTGCAGTTTGTTTCTGCAGCGGGGACAGTGATTTGGAGACAAGAGTTAGGGGAGGAAATATCAGTGACTTTGAGATTGTCAAGAGGCAGAGTGAATTGGGGGTTGTGACACCTGGGGCAGGGTGGCTCTGAAGGAGTAGGGATGAGGCAATTGTGAGGAAAAGTCTAGAGTCATTGAAGGAGAGAGTGCCAGAAAGGGGAAGTTGAGAAACTCACTGAGTGTGTTTCATGCATCAGCAATGGTCCAGAAAAGTAGCTGTATTCTAGAGCGGAAATTATATCACTGTTGGCATGCTGTCTCCAGGACAGGATCCTTGCTTAACACAGGCCTGATTAGACAAAGAGTTCTGCTGGCTTAATTGGGCCAGGCTGTATCTTAAAGAGAGATATAATTACACATATGTATATGCAATCTAGCATTATATAATGCCATATTACATAAGAAGACAAATGCTTCCTTTCACCCAGGCTCTCTTGGCACAAATTTACCGAATTTCAATAAGTTTCTTCCAACGCCCTCATACCCATTTTCCAGAGGGAGAGACTGATGCCCACAGAAAGGTGAAGTGATTTGCCTTTTTCTAGATAGGACAGGGAGGCTTGCAGTTTGGGACAGGGGTGCCAGAGTGACAGATGACCCAATGTGAGGAGGCAGTTGGAGGATAGACAAGGGAAGGCTGAAGGGGCAGCCAGGGAGGGGATGGCCTGGAGTGTTCAGGTTAGATAGCAATTCAGCCAATCTGTTTCCTAAGTGCATGGCCAGTATTGCCTGTCTTCTACTTGTTGGTTCACTGTCCCCTACTGAACTCTGGAAGTGAAGTCAAATAAAGTGTGCCTGAGTCTTCATCATAAAGCATCTGAACTTGGACATGCCCCTGGCTTTAAGAACCGAGGCCCTCTATGCTTCCTTCCCCTTCTTTCCTTGACAACCAGACTAGGGCAGCCACAGATGAACAAGCCTCCTATCAGCTGTGGGAGGGAAAGGAGGCCTTTTTGAGCTCTGCAAAGAGTGTGTGTGTGTAGGGGTGTGGGGGTGGGAATGGGAGCCCACGAGGTTTGTAGCTAATCCGAGCACACCTTCGCATCTGCCCTGGACTGAGTACAAAGAACCAGGAAAGCAGATGTGCAGTTTGTTTCTGCAGCGGGGACAGTGATTTGGAGACAAGAGTTAGGGGAGGAAATATCAGTGACTTTGAGATTGTCAAGAGGCAGAGTGAATTGGGGGTTGTGACACCTGGGGCAGGGTGGCTCTGAAGGAGTAGGGATGAGGCAATTGTGAGGAAAAGTCTAGAGTCATTGAAGGAGAGAGTGCCAGAAAGGGGAAGTTGAGAAACTCACTGAGTGTGTTTCATGCATCAGCAATGGTCCAGAAAAGTAGCTGTATTCTAGAGCGGAAATTATATCACTGTTGGCATGCTGTCTCCAGGACAGGATCCTTGCTTAACACAGGCCTGATTAGACAAAGAGTTCTGCTGGCTTAATTGGGCCAGGCTGTATCTTAAAGAGAGATATAATTACACATATGTATATGCAATCTAGCATTATATAATGCCATATTACATAAGAAGACAAATGCTTCCTTTCACCCAGGCTCTCTTGGCACAAATTTACCGAATTTCAATAAGTTTCTTCCAACGCCCTCATACCCATTTTCCAGAGGGAGAGACTGATGCCCACAGAAAGGTGAAGTGATTTGCCTTTTTCTAGATAGGACAGGGAGGCTTGCAGTTTGGGACAGGGGTGCCAGAGTGACAGATGACCCAATGTGAGGAGGCAGTTGGAGGATAGACAAGGGAAGGCTGAAGGGGCAGCCAGGGAGGGGATGGCCTGGAGTGTTCAGGTTAGATAGCAATTCAGCCAATCTGTTTCCTAAGTGCATGGCCAGTATTGCCTGTCTTCTACTTGTTGGTTCACTGTCCCCTACTGAACTCTGGAAGTGAAGTCAAATAAAGTGTGCCTGAGTCTTCATCATAAAGCATCTGAACTTGGACATGCCCCTGGCTTTAAGAACCGAGGCCCTCTATGCTTCCTTCCCCTTCTGCTTCCAGACCTTCATATTGTTGAATCTAAACTACACAGAGACGTTCTCTCGGTCTGTGGGTTTCTGTCTTTATCTTACTTTGTAGGTGGGATTCTGTTTTTGTTTTGTTTTGGTTTTTGTTATCCACTAGATGAAGCACAAACCACACCCACATGACTCTTCCTGGTACCCACACATCCCTTAGCTGTCTAACTTGAGACTAGGACTGTCTGAATGGGATTCCATGTCTTCGGCTCAGGAGAAAGAAAGGGAGGATGAAGCTGATGGTTAGAACAGTTGCCTGGTGGAGATGACCAGGAGGGAGCACACATGATGTGGATGGCTACCATGGAGAAGGAGGCCAGAGCTGCATGGAGACCCCTTGTAGCTGAAGTGTCCAGATCCTGTAAAATTCCAAGCAGGAGGAGGAGCTTGTCTCATTGAAAAGCCCTTGCTGTACTTTTTGCTTAGGTTGCTGAGCTGTGTCCACTAGAGCAAATCCCAGTTGCCATCGTTACTTGAGAATTTCTGCATTCCTGAATGTTGGCATCCAGTTACAGCCCGGCAGGACCAAGCTTCTCATGATGCTGCTGGTGGCCTGGCTGTGGTCTGGATGGCTCAGCAGTGAGGTGCCTGGGCAGCCTCCAGGTCTCCTCTGCACTCAGCCTTCCTGGGCCTGGGAAGGCTTACTCCAGGTGCCTCTAACCCCAAGATGATTCTTGCTGCACATAGAGAGTGTGAGCAGGGGCAGCCCGCTAACCCTAAGCACACCTACCGTGTACCTACTCCTTTCCACCCTGCTTAACACTTCTAGAAGGGCAGATGCCAATGGAGAGGCTGCCCTCAAAGCCTCCTCAAGTCTAGGGTCTCGGCCTTTTAACCACTGACATAACATTTCAACTGCAGACAGGCTGTCCATCTGAGGGATCTCTTTCTGGGATGGACAATCTACTTCTCTGTCCCTCACCAGAGGAAACTGAGGTGGAAATGCAGGCTGGGCTTGACCCTTTGCTTCTTCCTGTACCCAGTTCCCCATGAAGACAATCTGGTCAGCTTCTCCCTGGAGTGCTAGAAGTTTGGGGTCTTCCAATCTAAGTTTCCTTTAGTTTATGAGGGGTACTGCATGGGAAGTACAAAGGAGATAGATCTCACTGTTGGGGGCTGGATGTGGGATTCCGAGGAGCCCAGTCAGGGGATGGGAAAGCCCATGGGGCATGGAGTACTATCATACCAGCCTGTGGCTCCCTCCATCCCTGTCTCAAAGTGGGCCTTCAGTTGAACAAGCCACGTGGGCAATGTGACAGAACCAGAGTAGAAGAGGGAGGCCTGAGGACTCAGCAGGTGCATAGGAGGGTTCCTATTCAAAGAGGCTGCCAGGGAAGCTTCTCCTACCCCATAAAAGAGAATGGAGTTGAGCAGGCTGGGTCTTGGAAATCTGCCATGTGAGCGGGCCAGGGGGAAATGGGGGACGGTGAGAGAGCTGCTGAGGAACCCTGACATGTCCATTAAATTTTTAAGTGTCTCAGCCCTGGAGCATGCTGGGAAGGGGTGGGGACCTGGCCCCAACTCTGCTTCTCTCAGCTGTTTGTTCTGCTGCTGCTAGAGCCCCAGAACAGGGAAAAGGAGGAGGAGTGAGGAGAACAAGTGAGCTACTGGGCAGGCCAGGCGTTCTTTCTGGGGGAGTGGGGATAGGTCCAGGCCCAGAGCAGCTTCTGCCTTGGGATCTCTCACAGGCTGCCTCCATCCAGAAGCTCAGCTGCAGGGTGTGGGGACCAGAGGGAGACATGTGGCACCACACCTCTCAGCCTGAGTGAGCCCCTGGGACCCCTGCAGGGCGATAGCTCTGGAGTTGTTCACTCCTCTCTCTTCCCATCAGCATAAGTGCTTGATGTTGGGACAGTCCCAGTGAAAGAGGGCTGCCTGCACTGGCCCTGATCCTCAGGGGGCTAGCATGCCAAACTGTTCTGATGTTTCCCTTTCTGCCCCTCAGGTCCCAATTAATGGATTCTGACATGGATTATGAAAGGCCAAACGTAGAGACCATCAAGTGTGTGGTGGTGGGGGACAACGCTGTGGGCAAGACCAGGCTTATTTGTGCCCGGGCCTGCAATGCCACCCTCACTCAGTACCAGCTGCTTGCCACCCATGTGCCCACGGTATGGGCCATTGACCAGTATCGTGTGTGCCAGGAGGTAAGACTTTTGACTGGAGGGAGGGGTGTTCCATGCTATGCATCTTGTAGTTTGGTGTCTCTTAAGCTCATGATAGCCCCCTAGGGGTGGAGTAGGGTGGTTGAAACAGAAGGAGTCCCTGAAGAAAGGTGTGGGGGAAGTCTACCCCAGAGAGGTATCCTTGACCATTTGCATTTTCAATGGCTAAAATGGCTGGGACCCCAGCTTTGGCCAGGATCCACTTCTTGTACAATTATTGATTAAAGTAATAGGAAATCCGGGGGCTGAGGATTGAAATGGTGAGAGCTGAGAGGGGAAGAGATCGAATACCAAAAGATCTGCGGCTCATAGATATGCAACTATAAGGAAAGCTGGGACATGGGCAGGTTCCCAAGGGATCCCTTCTCCAGCCCACAAGCTTACCCTCTTAGGGTGTCTTCCACTTCCTATTGACTTGGAGTCTACCCTTCCTGATGATTCTCCAGAGGTTTCATGTAGATGAGCAGGTTGTGTAAGACACACACACACCAGCCCTGTCCTCCCCATCTCCTCCCACCTCCGTGCTACCAGGGACTCTCAAGGGTGAGCCAGAATCTACCCCAAGAACCATTGCCCTGTCTCCCCCTGCCCCAGGTGCTAGAACGCTCCCGAGATGTGGTAGATGACGTCAGCGTCTCCCTGCGCCTCTGGGACACCTTTGGAGACCACCATAAAGATCGCCGTTTTGCTTATGGGAGGTAGGGAAGGCCTTGGCTGCCGGAGGAAGCTGTGAAGGAGGGTTTTTCCTGCTTTTCCAAGGAACCGAGCTATTCTGTGTAGTGAAAACTGGGAGGAAGGAATGGAGAAAATGCCATGGTAGAAGACATTCCCTGGGGCTGGGGACAGCCTGAGCAGCCTGGGCTTGGAGTTTGGAGGCCTGGTTGAGTCCCAGCTCTGTAACCTACTAGCTCCGAGTAGCTCTGAGTCTCTCTGAGCTGATTTTTCTCAGTGTGAGATGGCATCCATCCTCCCTCCCTCCCTTCTTTCTTTCTCCCTTCCAGTCCCTCTTCCCTCCTTCTCCTCAATTGAAGCTAGAGCTTCGTGTATACTAGACAAATGCTCTACCACTGAGCTATGTCCCCAGTCCTTTTTAAAACAAGACAAACAAAAAGCTTTATTTTGAGACAGGGTCGTCCTAAATTGCCCAGCTGACCTTGAACTCATTCTGTAGCCCAGGCAGGCCTTGGACTTGCAATTTTCCTGTCTTAGCATCCCAAGTAGCAGGCCTGCAGCACTAGTCCTGGTAAAATAGTAATTTGTGTGTGACTGCAGGGGGAGTGGTATATGGGTATGTATATGTTCGTGTGTGTTTAGATATGTGTGTAGGAGCATGCAGTTATAGTGCAACTGTGGAGGCTAGAGGTCAATGTCAGAATATCTTCCTTAATCCCTTTCTAACTCTCTTTCGAGACAAGGCTTTTCACTGAGCCTGGAGCTCACCATTTTGTCTAGTCTCTGGTTGGCCAGCAAGTTCCAGTGATTCGCCTGTCTCTGCCCCCTAGTACTGGGATTCTAGATGTATGCAGCCATGCCTGAATTTTCACATGGTGCTGAGGATCTGAGCTGAGGTCCTCAGTCTTGCACAGAAAGCACTCTATCCCACTGAACCCTTTCCCCAGCCCCCAAATGGGAATTTTTAACTCACAAGATAGTTCAAGGCCAAAGGAGGCTTTGAGCTCTAAAACAGAGGCATAAATTAGAAGCGTAATTGCTATACATTGTGTGGAAGATGGTGGGAGCAGGTCATAAGTGAGGGGTGGGGCTCTAGTACAGGGGACAGGAGTAGGCAGACATGCTTCCCTCTTTCCAGAGGCAGGCAAACTGTCACCACCTTTCTCTGCCTGTAACCTCTCTTTCCTACCCCCCAGATCGGATGTGGTGGTTTTGTGCTTCTCCATTGCCAACCCCAATTCCCTCCACCATGTCAAGACCATGTGGTACCCAGAAATCAAGCACTTCTGCCCCCGAGCTCCTGTCATTCTTGTGGGCTGCCAGCTGGACCTGCGCTATGCCGACCTGGAGGCTGTCAACAGGGCCAGGAGACCCTTGGCTAGGTAGGAGTGTTGGTGGTGCCCAGGGAGAGGGAAGGAGCACAGGGGGAGGCCATGTCACCATGGCTTCTTATATCTATCTCCTTCCATTTGGAGCAAGTTCACATCAGAACCAATAAGCATGATTTTTCATTCATTTACTCGTTCATCCTTCCACGTAACTGTTGTGCACACTGTGGGAACAGTACTGTGGGATACTCTGAGAGGAATGACAAAAAGGAGAAAACATTATCTGAATGAAAAGGTCCTATAACTTTGTTGGAGATAACACAGTTGTTCTCTAATCCATGGGTTCCACATCTGTGGATTCAACCAGCTGTGAATGGAGAATGTATAGAATTTTCCCTTTATTATTCCCAAACAAGGCATGGTAACAACTATTTACATAACACTTATGTAAGTAATCCAGCACGATTTAAAGAATAGTAGGGATATGCACAGGTTATATAAATACTGTAACATTTTATATAAAGGACTTGAGCTTCCATGAATTTGGTATCCGAGGGGGATCCTGAAACGGATCTCCCTTGGATACCAAGGGACATCTGTATGTGATAATATTAAAAGCCAATGTGAAGTTTTGTATGCAGGTTACCTGAGAGGGAGGCACTATCAGGGCTCAGAACTGGGGAGGTCAATGGGGTCTCACATAGACAATGACCTGAAGGCCAGGCAGGGAAGAAAGAGCCAGGGAAGAGAAGGTCAAGGACCCAGAACCTGAGCAGCCTCCCCAGTCTGAGGAAGAACGGGCAGGTCCTCTCCATCACCATCACAAGTTTCATTTCCCTTCTTCAACTCACCAGGCCCATCAAGCCCAATGAGATCCTGCCCCCAGAGAAGGGTCGGGAAGTGGCCAAGGAGTTGGGGATCCCCTACTATGAGACCAGCGTGGTGGCCCAGTTTGGCATCAAGGACGTCTTTGACAACGCCATCCGGGCTGCACTCATCTCCCGCCGTCACCTGCAGTTCTGGAAGTCGCATTTGCGGAATGTGCAACGGCCACTACTGCAGGCGCCCTTCCTGCCCCCCAAGCCACCGCCCCCCATCATCGTGGTGCCCGACCCCCCCTCCAGCAGTGAGGAGTGCCCCGCCCACCTCCTGGAAGACCCACTCTGCGCGGATGTCATCCTGGTGCTGCAGGAACGGGTGCGCATCTTTGCCCACAAGATCTACCTCTCCACCTCCTCCTCCAAGTTCTACGACTTGTTCCTCATGGACCTGAGTGAGGGAGAGCTGGGAGGCCCCACAGGGCCAGGGGGCCCCCGCCCAGAGGACCACCGGAGTCACCCCGATCAACACCACCACCATCACCACCACCACCACGGGCGGGAATTCCTGCTGCGGGCAGCCAGCTTTGATGTGTGTGAGAGTGTGGATGAGGCCGGGGGCTCTGGTCCTGCGGGCCTCCGGGCCTCCACCAGTGATGGGATCTTACGGGGTAATGGAACAGGGTACTTGCCCGGCAGGGGTCGCGTGCTTTCTTCCTGGAGCCGAGCTTTTGTGAGCATCCAGGAAGAGATGGCAGAGGATCCTCTGACCTTCAAATCCCGGCTGATGATGGTGGTGAAGATGGACAATTCCATCCAGCCTGGGCCCTTCCGGGCTGTTCTCAAATACCTGTACACTGGGGAGCTGGGTGAGAATGAGCGGGATCTCATGCATATCGCCCACATCGCTGAGCTGCTGGAGGTCTTTGATCTGCGGATGATGGTGGCCAACATTCTCAACAATGAAGCCTTCATGAATCAGGAGATCACCAAGGCCTTCCATGTCCGCCGGACCAACCGGGTGAAGGAATGCTTGGCAAAGGGCACCTTCTCAGGTATGGTGCATGCTCAGAAGGCAGGGGATGCTCTCCAGCAAACTTTCTGAGGTGTCTGAGTTGGCCTCTTAGTGTTCTGAGTTTGCTTCAGCTCCTCATGTCCTCAAAATATGGCTGTTCTGTTGCTCAAGCCAAGAGCTTGGTTGTCTAGTGCCTAATACTTTTGTCACATGGTGAGGGCTCAGTGACTGCCCTCAGGGCTGATTCCCATGTGTCCACTGTGTCCTTACATGATGCCTCTTTTCCTCCTGGACAGATGTGACCTTCATCCTGGATGATGGGACCATCAGTGCCCACAAACCCCTGTTGATTTCCAGCTGTGATTGGATGGCTGCCATGTTTGGGGGACCATTTGTGGAGAGTTCCACCAGGGAGGTGAGGCTGGGGATGGGAAGGGAAGGGAAAAGAGAGAGAATTTATATCCTTTGCATCTGAGAGAGCATCAGTTAATGGTAACATTGACCAAGTGCCAAGCACACTGATGCTTCCTAAAACCAAGGATTCTAGTAGCTTAGTAGTTTGGAAAGCATGTTCATACACACCTCATTTAATTTGCTCATGACTTTTACTCATAGTATGCCATTCACATGTTGTATGCAGGAAAGGGACACCCTGAGAGGTTGTGCGGCTTGTACAAAGTTTTATGGCTGGAAAGGGGATGGTAGGTCTGGAACTCAGAACTGACAGTTCCTCGGTTCCTTATATTATGCTCTGTTGCCTCTCTGAGACACATAGAACAACTAGAAAACAGTCCAGTGTGTCTCAAGAATTCATCAGTGTCTTCAAAGATAGGTCTTAGTATTATTATTGAAGTATGGTGGGGCCAACAGATCAGGAGGTGATGCTATTGAAAAGGTAGAGTGTGTTGCAGATCCCAAGGAAGGGACATGCACATGGGGCTACACAGGGAAGATCCAGGAGGTGAAGGTGGAGGTACCCTGGTTGTCCTGTACCTGGCTCTGGAGTGGTTGGAGCAAGGCAACGGTAGACTAGGGTATGAGAGAGGAAACAGTTAGGAGGTGGGTTCTAGATTGCTTAGTTTGAAGATAAAAGGCCCACTTGAAGGTAGCTCTTTTGCTAGTTCAAGAACTGGCTGGGTCTGGGAGGGGTAGTCTAGGAAGGACCAGCAAGGCTCTAGATGTCAGAACATCAAAATGCAGACTATAAGAGCACATGCTAGAGCCGGGCGTGGTGGTGCACGCCTTTAATCCCAGCACTTGGGAGGCAGAGGCAGGAAAATCTCTGAGATCAAGGCCAGCCTGGTCTATATAGAGAGTTCCAGGACAGCTGGGGCTACAGGGAGACCCTGTCTCAAAAAGACCAAAACAAAAAACAGCACATGCTAAATACAGTCACCTTGCTCTCTGATTCGTGCCCATCATTCCCCTTCCCATTTTCCACTTTCTCAGCTACCAGCTCAGCTTAGAGTTGAAAGGGACCTATCAGTGAGCCCCTAGAAGTGTTCTCTGGACTCTGCTCCCTCTTTCCCATCCTCCCAGACAAGCAGAAAAGCCCAGATCACAGCACTCAGTGTTCTCTGTCATCTCTGACTCCTGGGCCATCAGTTACCCATCACTCTACCTTGTAGTTAACAAGGTTCTACTTTGCACAGATATGTAAAGTTCTGAGTTCCCCATGTAGTTTCCCCAGCTGGTCTGTAATTTCTTAGGAGTTCAGAGACAAAGTCTTGACTTCTGCTAAGTACCCCTGCTGCCCCCAGTTCCCATCTCTTAAACAATGGTCACCAGACAGTTGACTGAAAAACTGAACTAAAGAGCAATCAGCAGTCGCATTGTGTGATGCAGAATATAGCTCCGTAAGGTTTCTGGGAAGTGAGCAATTGGGGAAGGCTAAGCAGAAGAATTGAGTTGAATTGGTCTCTAAAATAGGAGTAGGACTTGGACTCACAAAGCACAGAACCAGGATTCTCTAGCCCCAGGGGCCTGCCCACCCTGGGCGCTTCTCAGTACTGTAGACACCAACTCTGAAGCTCTACCTGAGTCCCAGCAAGCCTGGAGAGAGTCACGTCTGATGAGAAAGCAGTTTTTGTTTCAGGGCTGCTCCCAGAGGCCCAACGCAGCAGCTCTGAGCAGCCAGCTGGTTCCTTTTGTTCAGTCTTCACCCCACTTCGGCTGCTCCCTGCAGGCACAGGGGGCTCCAGGGAGTAGCTGATCGAAATGGCTCCTTCAAGCATCCTCCCAGCCAGAGCAGTTTCAGGATGCCAACCAGAATCTAGGTCCCTTCAAAAGACACCAGAGCCCCATTCACTGGCGATGTCAGTACACTAGGGCTCAATGCCAGTGGTCAATCAGTGCCAAGGTTTTGAGGGTCTCCTAAGTGGGTTCAGACTCAGCACAAAAGACTGGCTCAGGGAGATTAGCCCACTGGGTCTGGTCTTTACAGTTCTTGGGACTGAGTTGCTCTTGGCTACTTTAGACTTCATGCCACCTGCCCACTTCTTCCCAACCCAGGTGGTGTTTCCATACACGAGCAAGAGCTGCATGAGGGCCGTGCTGGAGTACCTCTACACCGGCATGTTCACCTCCAGCCCAGACCTGGATGACATGAAGCTCATTATCTTGGCCAACCGCCTCTGTCTGCCGCACTTGGTCGCTCTCACAGGTAACTAGCTACCCGGAGTGTGAAAGGACCTCCGTGGGGCAAGTTCATGGAGACCCCAGGGAGTGATCACACACCTCTCACCTCTCTCCTCCTGGAGACAAAGCTGGAGTGCCAAGGGAAGAAGCTGTCCTGGACTTCAGTCTGCTGATATGTATAGTTGGGCCTGAGGACATAGATGGGAAGTGTGTGGGTAAGAGAGATTGGCGTTTGATAGGGTCACCTCAGAGGTGTGGTACCACAAAGCGATGGCACCTGACCTTTACTCAAGCAAGCTCAAGAAATTGCCAAGGAATAGAACACAATTCTGTTTCTACTGGACGTCTCGTCTCCTTGCCAGCTTCTTCCCCTTTAACTTCATGTTCTTTTCCTTCTTCCAGAAACATAAAGCCATCATTGACTAACCTCTTGATTCCTTGTAAGGATTGTGAGAGCTTGGTATGGTGACCCAAGCCTGTCATCCCAGATACACAGCAGGCAGAGGCAGGAGGATCCCAAGTTCGAGGTCTGCCTGAGCTACAGAATAAGCTTAGACACTTTAGCAAAGCCTTATCTCAAAAAAAGGGGATGGGGTAGAGATACAGCTCAATATGGTGTTTACCTACATGTGTGAGGTCCTGAGTTCATTCTCCGGTATCAGATACACACACATACACACACATACACACACACAGGATTATGAGAGCTGGGGCTCAGCTTTTAGAATAGCCCAATCCCAGAATCCCTCAGGGCAGAGGAAGATATAGGCAGTAATATAACAACAGGCAATCTGAGTGCCAGTGCTGGATGCCTTTGGTGCGAAGGGAGGCCAGACCAGCGAGCTGGCATTTGTGTTGCTGTTGATTTTGATACCCATGTATTGATATCAATACATTGTATTGATGTTGAAGTCATGGTTGGTATTCTTGTGCAGGGCAGGTCTTGAGTCAGGATTCAGGCAAGGGCTTAGTGTTAAAGCTGCTGGGGCCTTATACAGTTAATTACGATAGGGACAGACACAAGGAAAGCTAGCCATCCATGAGAAAGGAATTACAAGAGACAACGTGGTCACAGGAAGGAGGCAGAAATCATTGATATGAGTCAGAGTATTAAGAGTTAAACCCATAGTGAACCCACACTAGGTCCAAAGGGACCTCAGGGCAGGGAGTAAGAACCATGTCTCAAGATTACAGCTTCAGAATTCTTTGCTCCCCATGAAATATGGTGTGGTCTTCCCATAAACTTAATACTTACATGGAGTAATTCCCTTTTGAAAAGGCTGTCTCCAAAATAACGACCCCCAAGGAAAAGTAAACTCCATAAAGATATTTCTAAAAGTTCTTTTCGTTAAGTTGAGCAATTGGAAACACATCAGAGAAGCACCCTTGGTTAAGCCCACATAGATAATTTTCCCATGGCTGCCATTTAAAATGTCAAACTGTACTGCTATGTGAAAAGCCTTGCAGAAAATAACATCAAATTACTTTTCCCTGGAAATGGTCTATGCACATTAGAAAATGTGCATGAAAATATGACTACCCCCCTTGTTAAGGATCTGTGGGAGATGCTGAATTCCATGTAGTTAGTAATGGCTTTACATTTTGCAAAGTTATTAATTCACACTTCAACTAGTTTGTTGTAAAGTATAACACAAGTAAATAAAACAGCTTAATGAATTATAGAGCAAAATACTTTTCCAATCTTGATGAATGTCAAGAGCTGGAACCTGCCTGGCCATACCGAAGGTTTCCACTTCTCCCTTCGCATTACTGATCACTCTCTTCTCCTCAGAGGGACCCACACTTCTCTTACAGTAATTTCCAGTTCTATGATGCAGGCATGCTTCCTTAAGCATCATAGCTTGGTTTTTTTCATATATCTTTTAACTTCTAGTCGATCAATGAATAACTAATTGTCCATTAAAAAAAAATCCTCCCAGAATTTGTTGAAAAACAAACCAATGCTGGTCCTAAAAAAAATTAGTGTGTATGTGTACATTTGCATGCATGTTCACAAGGGTACCATGCCTACATGCGGAGATTAGAGGACAATTGGCAGCAGTCAGTCCAGTTCTTTCACCAGGTGGGTTCTGGGGATTGAACTCAGATCATCAGACTTGGCAGCAAGTGCCTTTAGCCACTGAGCCATCTTGCTGACCCAACACTGGTCTTTTGGTCTTGTAGTTTTCAACAATCTCGATGTTTAGTGGCTGCATCATTCTTCTTCTTCCTCCTTCCCCTCCCCCGCTCTCTCCCCTTCTCCTTGAGAGGGTCTCATATAGGCCAGATTAGCCTTGAATAATGATTACATTTCTGAGACATTTGAGGCTTTATTTTGAGATGGAGTTTTCTATAGATTAGCTAAAGTGGCCTTGAACTTGAGTGTGTAGTGGGGATGACCTTGAACTTCTGATTATAGTCATCCACCACTACCCCCAGTTTATGTGGTACTAGGGATTAAACCCAGGGCTTCATGCATGCTAGGCAAGGGGGCTACATCTCTAGCCCCACAATTGCATTTCCATGATGTAGTTCAATATAGTCCTCTGTACGCCAGATTTCTTTTAAACCAGTCATTTGATTTAGGAACAGGATCCTGGTGCACTTAAAAAAAAAAAATGCTTGGGTCAGGCATAGTGGTGCACATTTTAATCCCAACTCTCCCAAGGCAGAGGCAGGCAAATATCTGTGAGATTGAGGCCAGCCTGGTCTACATAGTGAGTTCCAAGCCAGCTGGGGCTATAGGGAGACCCTGTCTCAACTCCCCCTTCCCCCCACAAAAATCCCAGAGAAAGTGCCTTATAGGCTGTTTCTCTTCTTCACCAAGTGGCAGGTTCTTTTCTTTCTTTTTGTGATGCTAATAGCTATTGAGTATCACTGCCTGGACCCATCAGCTGATTAGGTATTGAAAAGTTGTAAGATCCCGACTCAGCCACCTCTTCTTCATGTATCTGTTGGAAGACTTCTACAAAGAGAGAAACTTCCATTCTCTACTGTTTGGTTACCCAATATAGTTCTTACAGGGAGAACAGTCGATCTTGTTTTTGTTTTCCTTTCATTTTCCAATATTTTGAGATACATTTCTTTCATCTCATCCTTGAGGGTGACCAATTAGTTTGTGTGTACTTTTAAAGTATTGTCATGAACTCTTAGGTTTGAACATATTTGATTGGTTTAAGTTAACTGCATTTCTCTCTTTTTGTTTTGTTTTCGTTTTTGAGACAGTCTCAAGTAGCCTGAGCTGGGCTCGAACTCACTATGTAGCTGAGGCTGGGCTTGAACTCCTGATCCTCCTGCTTCAGCTCCCCAAATGCTAGAATTACAGGTGCACACCATCATACCCAGGGCATTTATCCTATGGAACCTCAAATACTGTACCTTTAGCCAGTTGAAGTCTTTTCATGTTCACTCCAGTCTTTGGGTTTCCTTGCTATTTGGGATGGAGAGCTCTCCCAGCTCCATCATGGACATTCCTGTTGCAGCCCGGGAATCAGCCATTTCCCCAGGATACCCTGGCTTCTTGTGGTCCTGGGCCCAGGGCCTTTACATGCTAGAAGTCCTGGGTTTTTTGATTGGAAGTGGACAAGTACGCTACAAATGCTCACTGCTCTTGGACTGGTTACTGTTTCCAGGCCTTTGCTGTAGCTGGAAAATATATTCATCTTTTTAAGGATAAACTACCTAATGAGTTTATTCTGATACTTCTAATTAAAATGCAGGACCAAGGGTGTTTGCTTTCTCCATATAAGTGTTTTAATGTAAAATTTAAGATTAATACACACTTTGTTAATAAAATTTAAATTAATATAAATAGGTTTAACTCAGTTCTAGATCATAGCTCTCAGGCTAGTTTCGTTTTCAACAAACGTGAGGCTCCAGGCCCTCTCTGCATCAGTGGCTAATTGTATCAGGTGCTGTGGCCCTCTGTATATCAGATTATAAAGTGGGATCCTTGTAATTTGAAGTCATTTTAGTAAGCTTAACATAACTTTTCATCTCCTATCCCCTCCCCACTGAGGTCTTGCCCTCATCCCTGATTCCCCCCTGGTGGGAATACTCTTAAGTCTCCCAGAGTCTCTCTAGCCTGTTGGAACTTGTCCCTGGCCTGATCTGTCTGAATCACTCCCTGAAGCAGTCCCCTACTGCAGTGCATTAGCAGTGCAGGTCCTTTGATGGTTCTCCAGCTGATTGTTGGCTGTGTATGTCACAGAGCAGTACACCGTGACCGGGCTAATGGAAGCAACCCAGATGATGGTGGACATCGATGGGGACGTCCTTGTGTTCCTGGAATTGGCACAGGTATTGTGGCAGGGGAAAGAACTGACAACAGCCTTAACTCAACAGCCTTAACTCCAGGCTCTGCCTGCCCATAAGCAGAGAGTAGGGGTTTCTGAGAGGTAGGAATAGAAAACCTGCTGTGTTGGCCTTGGCTGCCCAGGTGGGTGGAGCTTATCTTCTTGTGTACATCTGGAAGCAGCTAAAGAGCTTCTGGACTTCTGAAAGGAAAGCTGGCCTGGGAGGAAGGCACTGAGACTTGAGGCCACTCACAGGTCAGTGGAGGGGATCCCAGGCTAAGGCTGGGGTCCTCTAGGAGACACTGAGGACTCTCCCTCTGAAATTAACAGCTGGCCTCCTTGTTACCAAACAAACAAGTCACAATGCCAGGAACTCAGTCTCTGAGTGGGGCTGGTGCCAGATTTCTCTAAGCCTGGCTGCCCACATCTCATTGTGGACTACTTAGGCTGCTGATGGAAGAAGGGAACCAGGTGGGTAAAAGCTGGGGTGGGCAAAGGCAGGAGGAAACCCCACCTGAGAGGGGGTGGGGTGTGGCTATCAGTAAGGTAGATGCTGAGGGTAAGAACTGGGTTGGCAGTGGGGCCCAGGAACCTACATCAAACATCATCTTCCTAAGTCCCGAGTGGGCTTGATTTTGAAGGTGGTCCTCTTATGACTTCAGGATATTTGTCTACACTGCCCAGTGCTGCAGCTCAAGCCATTGTAGACATCTATGCAGATTCCTTGCTCTGGTACAGATCATGTCTGTTCAATCCACAGTTCCACTGTGCATACCAATTAGCTGACTGGTGTCTCCATCACATCTGCACTAACTACAACAACGTGTGCCGCAAGTTTCCCCGAGACATGAAGGCCATGTCCCCAGGTGAGTAGCCTGGCCAATCCCTGCAAGTTGCTGCAGCTGGAGCTAAGCAACATGGACTGTGGGCAAGGTGGGCTTGGTGCTGACCTGGGGGTGCCTCCAGCTCTGTGTTCCTCATAACTCAGTCCCCCACTCCCACCTTCTGTTCCAGAAAACCAGGAGTACTTTGAGAAGCATCGGTGGCCGCCGGTCTGGTACCTGAAAGAAGAGGATCACTATCAGCGGGCCCGGAAGGAGCGGGAGAAGGAGGATTATCTACACCTACGGCGGCAGCCTAAGCGGAGGTGGCTGTTCTGGAACAGTCCCTCCTCACCGTCCTCCTCTGCAGCAGGCTCAGCGTCCCCATCCTCCTCCTCGGCCGTGGTCTGAGACGCTGCCACCCTCTTCTGACCCTGCTGCTGTTGTTCCCATTTGCCCTTGTCCTTCCGCTCTTTTGCATCACCCCCTCCACCCAATAGGGGACGGGGGGCTTACCCAACCAGGACCCTAAGGGTGGAGCTGTTCTCACCAGCTAAGGTGGCAGCCCAAGAGGAGCCAGGCCCTACAGATCAGAGTAGGGTCCACCTACAATTCCAGGCAGGGCAGGAGACACGAGCCCCGAGGTGGGAAAGAGCTCGGCGCTCTGGCATTTTCTCTCTGGACTTGAGGACCCTAGAGTCAATGGGGGAAAACAACCTTGCACATGGACTTATCTGTATGTCTTGAGCTCTGCTTTGGCTGGGGAGGTAGCCTCCTCCCCCAAAGCAGCAAAGGTCCTCTCTTTGCTGGTCATGATTTTTCCACCAACAGACTTGACAGTTGCAAAGTATTTAGGGGGCATTGCCTTGTGGGCTTACTCAAATCCTCACTGGAGAAGTCAGGGTAGAAGTGAAGTCTTCAGAGCCCACATCAAGGTTTCTGTACCATGAGTTGTGGCTGCTAGTGGGAGCATGGGGTAGACCATGTCCTGCCACCATCCTTCCAGGGCTGCAGATAGTGCAGGCCTGGTGGTGGGCAGCAGCGTTGTTCAGCACTCCAGGCCTGGAGGCAGTGCCTCTTGGTGCATTGATAAACTTCTCCTTCACCCCTCCTGCACACCTCACACTGGCACCATAGAAAGCAAAGGAAAAAGTTGGGGTGTGGAAGAAGGAAGGGTGGGTTCTGCACTCAGCAATCCCATGCTCCTCTGGGCCTCTTCCCCTGCCTCTGGGTAGCACTGCTTTTTATGGGGTGGGGCAAAATCAGTGAAAACCAACTCAAAATTGCCACCACCAAGACCGCTCTATCCTCTATTCCCTGAAGAATGAAGGTCCAAAAAGAGACCCTGTAGAGCATACATTTTCATAGAGCCAAATAGGGGTTGCCATATTGTGGACATAAAGGGTCAATTATACCATCCACTCTGATGCCTTTCAGGAGAGGACCTGTGGCCACTGGCTGAGGATGCCCTGGTCTGAGTCTTCCTGTGACTAGGTTGCAGGGTTGAGGAGAAAGCTTTGGCTTCGGGGTTCAAGTAGCAATGCGCTTTTTCTATCTTGATGCAGGCTGACGTCTTCCAAGGGTGACCTCAAAGAATGCACATGGAGTGTGCTTTGCGGGAAGGGTTTAGAGCTGGAGTCAGATGTGTGGGGAGAGGACACACCTGGAGAACAGGTGTCTCCTGAAACGAAAGGTCACAGGGCTCACAACCCAACCTAGTGCTGGTTGAGGGTAAAGGAAAGTGGGGGAGAACTGAGCAGGAGGAAAAGCAGGTTAGTCCAGAGAGGAGTTGGGAAGATGAACACAACAGCTCAAAGCCCCCATGGGACAAATGCTAGGCCTCAACTGTCCCCTCCCATTTCCTAACCCTAACCCATACTTCACCCTTTTTAGACTTATAAGTTGAAGTCCCACAGGGGTGTGAGTCATGAGAGTTCAAGAGTCCCCTCCCCTGAGATGTGTTAGGAAGGACGGATTGCTCAGGTCTGGGGCAGACTCAGAAGCAAGTGTAACCGCACGACGACTGTATTGTACTAAGACCTAGCGCTCTGACCTTGACCTTGTTAGAAGGAACAGGCAGCAGCAGGTCTCACGGGAGGGTAAACCCGTGTTGAATGTGCCGGACCCTCTGAAGTTCTCTGGAATAGCTATTGGGAAGCGAGTTGTGTGCTGCCCTCTACTGGCTGGTCAGGCTCCCTACAGCCGAGTTCAAGTGTGCTAAGGAACCTGCAGGCATGGACTGCAACCTCTCACACTTTTCCTTGAGGACACACTTTGGGGCACACCTCCCGGGACCTGTAGGTGAGAGGAAGCTCAGTCCTAAAGCGGCGGAGGAATCGGGTTTCCCGGGTGATGGCAGGGCTGAGCAACCTAGGCCCAGTGGTGGGAACAGAAAGGCCAGTGGGGATAGTGAAGGTTAGCTAGAGGTGGAGGAAGCCCACGGACAGTGGTCGTGGAACACCATCCCCCAACACCCCGGCACCCAGGCCCGCTCAGCCCTCAGGGACCCACTGCCCACCCCCACAGCTCTGTCAGAGCCAGTCTGTACTACCCGGAGTCCTATAGCCCAGAGGAACTGCCCTGGGAGGTTGTGAGTGAGCCAGGAGATGGGGAGGAGGTGCAAATCCATCCCCCCTACCCCATATCAGTGCTCTGGATTCCAGAGAGATAGAAGCAGGAGACCCCAGTGTAGGGAAAGCCTACTGCCTAAAAGCCAGTTAGGAGGGAGCAGTCACACAGGAACATCCTCCCCTGGACTGGTGTCATTCGGTCTCTGAGAGGATGGGGGCAAAAAAAACAAAAAACACACACCTCTTTTTATATAAGGTTTCATATTTAATTTGGTCATGAATTCATAATACATGAGTATTTTGTACCTAACAGAGTCCCTTGTATTGTTTGACATTACCAACATGTTTCTGAGAGGCATGAAAACTGGGGGGTGGGGGGGTTTCTGGAGCAGCAGCTCAACAGTTAAGAGCACTGACTGCTCTTGCAGGGAACCTGGGTTCGCTTCCTAGCACCCACATGACAGCTATCAACCGTCGGTAACTCTGCTTCCAGGAGATTCAGTGCCCTCGTCTGATCTCCGTAGGCACTGCACAACACGGGTGCACTTACACACATGCAAACAATACACATACACATTAAATAAAAATAAATATTTGGCATCTGAAGTGCGAAGGTGAGGTACGTGTCTGCCCGGTAAAACACAATGAGCAACTTCAGCATCTGCAGGCCAACATGATGCTTACACTCAGAATAGCATAACTGACAGCAGTGACGTAATGCTCATCTAGATAAGGGGTTCCCCTCCTAAGGTTCCGTAGATGCCACAGCAACCCTGGAACAGCACAGCATAAGATGCTTGGGAAATGCCATCTCCATAATTGCCATGCTGTGACTAGAATCCAGTAGAGGGCTTTGCCAGCAAGAGGGCAGAAATGGAAGATTTAAAAACACAATGAAAAACAAAAGAATAAGCTGGGTGCATGCCTGGGGAGGCAGAGGCAGGTGAATCTTTGTGAGTTCAAGGCCAGCCTAGTCTACATAGTGAGTTCCCGGCCAGCTGAAGCTTCAGGGAAACCCTGTCTCAAAAAGACAAAAAAATAAATAAAAGAACAAGTAGAGAGTAGCAGATAGAGCAAATGAAAAGTAACACCATCAAATCAGGGGCTTACAAACATCCAACAGAAACTGACTGGGAAGCACTCCAGAAGCAGCCAGCTTGTGCAACAGTTTCCTGGAATTGAAAGATTCCCTCCAGGAGGGAGAAGGAGGCACATGAGACTTCAGAAGTGGACTAAAGATCATCTATTACTCCAGTTCTACACCCCTTTGAGGACAAGGCATTTGTGTGGTGCACATACACTCATGCAGGCAAAACACTCATACACACAAAATAAAAATAAATTCAAGTACAATACTATACATCAAGATAAAGTTCACTTCTGTGTGCTGCAGAGCCTGCTGAATCTTCTTGATAAATTAACATCTCAGAGCTCATTTCATAGTCCTCAATTGTGTCCCAGGCACATTTCTCTCATCTGTTGCATGAAGTTGTCCAAGGAGTTAAAGGGCTGACAGGAAGTGAAGATTGGCCTCAGGGCTATGTGACAGAAACATAGGTGACAGGTGAGCTGGAAGCACTTCACAAAGGATGGAGGATCCTAAATCAGGTCTAGAAACGGGGGGTGGGACCCACAGTCTGGGCTCCCTTGCTGCTCCATGCATGCTGCTGGAGCCTTACCCATACCCAAAGACACAGCGAATCAGGAATCCTGCTCTGGAAGAGGCCTGTTGGCTCAGTGGGGAAGGTGCATGGACGTCGTAGGGAAAAAAGCAGGCAGTGTGTGGCATGGGCCACAGAGAGGCACTGGGGGTGGGTGCACTGGTATCTCAGGGGAGGGAAGCAGTTTTGACTGCACTCAGTGGAGTCCAGAGCAGCTGTATCTACAGAGCAGAGGTGGAAATGCCAGCAGGCCTCCCTCGCGGCTGCTCAGTGTCACTGCCACTAGATGGCAAAAAAGGACTCAGTGAAAACTGAACCTGCAGCTGAGTAAAGGCAACTCCATGGACTGTGATGTAGTAAATGTGACATGAGCAAGATGCACATCACCCTCCATCCTGAGAAACATAAGGGCCAGGAGTCCCATGGATGTTTCCTAACAGCCTCATTTGAACAGTTTAAGGTGGGCTGGAGATGTACAGCTCAGTTGATAAAAACACTCGCCTAACACACACAAAATCCTGGGTTTAATCCCAAGCATCACATAAAACCGAGTGTGGGGTCTGAAGAGATGGCTGAGTGGTTAAGAGTGCATATTGTTCTTGCAGAAGACCTGAGTTCAGTTCCCAGCACCATGTTGGGAACACAACTGCCTGTAGCTCCAGCTCAGGGGATCCAATGCTCTCTTCTGACCTACGAGGGCACTACATTCATGTGCACATACCCACACAGAGACACAGACATGTAATTAAAAAATAAAAACAAGGCTTTAAGAAAAAAAAAAAAACTGAATGTGGTGGTGCATATTTGTAATGCCAGCACTCAGGAGATGGAGGCAAGAGGATCAGAAGTCTGGGGTTGGGCAGGGGAGATGGCTCAGTCAGTAAAGTGCTTGCTATACAAGCATGAGGACCTAAGTTCAGAGCCCCAGCACATAAACAGTTAAAAGAAGCAAGTGGCCTCAATTTAATATATTCCAAAACTTATGAAGTTAGTATTTGAAAAAAATATCTATGAGATGGTTTCTATGTGTTTTGTATAAGTCTCTGAAACCTGCTTTGTAGTTTATAATATAGCTCATCAAACCAGGCCTGACCAAATGACAGGAGCTCCTGTGGGTGCTATGGGGGAGGGGTTGGGAAGAGCCTGAACTATAAGGGGGAAGGGAGGGATGGTTGGCAGAGTGGAAGGGCAAGAAGAGTGACACAATATGAGGGGCTGGGGAGGATCCCAATGGAGACAGAAGAGAGAAGGGGACTTATGGCTCCCCAAGTCCAGTGACAATAGCACAGGCTGCTTAGTGCCAACCATTAGCTGTCCTGATAGAACCCTACCAGCCAGGGGACAGTTAGAACACTCTTCCTAGTCCCTGGGCTTCTGTGTTACTGCCCCAGACAAAACAATCAGTAGCTTAAAGACTGTCTGTGCTGGTGGTCTACTGTGGCATGAGTAACAGGCAGTAAATGTTCACCTAAAGTGTTGTGCTGCAAGTGTACCCCTGTATAAACCTCCATCCAGATGGAATGCTCCCCCTGCCCCAGAGCTTTCTCATCTGCCCCACCCTCAACAGTCTCTCCTCTCAGACTTCTTATGAGACTCAGCAACTGTAGAAGAAAGAGCTTTGTGAAATCCAAAGTCAAAATCTGTTTTTATCGGCCAGGGGACAGCTAGAACACCCTTCCTAGTTCCTGAACATGTGTTACTAGCAGCCCCAGACAAAGCACTCACTCTCAGACTTTCAGTAGGGTTACTTTCACTTCCTCCAACTCTCCTCCTGTTGGAGAACTCTCAGCTTCAGCAGGTCCCTGTAACAAACAGGAAGATGCCCTAGTCAGTCAGAAGATCGCAGTTCCAAGCCAGACCTTGACAACCACACCTGGGTCAAGGCACTTCCCCTCTGGACAAACTTCCTGTCTCAATAGTTTGAAGGCTGTCTGTGCTAGAGGCCTATTGTGGCATAAGTAACAGACAGTAAATGTTCACCTAAAGTGTTATGCTGCAAGTGTACCCCTGTATAAACCTCCATCCGGATGGAATGCTCCCCTTGCCCCAGAGCTTCCTCTTCTGGCCACCCCCCAACAATGACAATAGTCTCTCTTCCCAGACTTCTTATGAGACTCAGTTGGAAACTGTAGAGGAAAGAGCTTTGCAAAATACAAAGTCAAGGGCTGGAGAGATCACTCAGCGGTTAAGAGCACTGGCCACTCTTGCAGAGGACCCGGGTTTAATTCCCAGCACCAACATGTTGGCTAACAACTGTTTGTAATTCCAGTTCCAGGGGAATTCAACACTCTCTTCTAACCTCCATGGGCACTGCATGACATAACTGTACTTCCATACATGCAAGCAAAACACAAATACATAAACTGAAAATAATGAAATATTTAAAAAAAATAATTTGTTTCAATAATGTGAAGGTATTTTGCTCAATAATAACACCTCAAGTGAGGTATAGTGGAACACACCTTTAATTCCAGGACTGAGAGGTGGAGGCACGTGGATCTCTATGAGATTGAGGCCAGCCTGGACTACATAGCAAGTTCTAGGCCAGCTGGGGCTACAAGGAGACTGTGTCTCAAAAATAAAATAGTTTAATTAATGTATTTTTAATTTATGTGTATCTGTCTGTGTAAGGGTGTGCTATACATGTGTGTAAGGAGGAGGTGCCCAAGGAGAGCATCAGATTCCCTGGAGCTAGAATTACAGGGTTGTGAGCTGCAAGATGTGGGTGCTGGGAACTTAACCTGGGACCACTAGAAGCAAGCACCCTGCTTCTAGAAGTACTCTGCCTCTAGAGGCAACCACTGAGCCATCTTTCCATCTCCTAAATTTGACTTTTAAAAACAGCTTGGAACAGAAGGAATAGAAGAAAATGTATATTTCATGGTAGTGACATTAAAAGCCCTCTCAACAGACCCAATTGAGACCAAAATGCCTGTTTTCTCACCATTGTTTTTTGTTTTGTTTTGCATTGCTAGGATCTAACCTAGACCCTCCCACATGCAATGCAGGCATTCCACCACCAAGCTATACCCCATCCTCTAGTCATTGTTGAGAACCCTTCTGACAGTTCTAGCTACACAGCAAGAGGAAAAACAAAAACAGGAAGTAGGATTCCTGTAGTGGAGCAGGAAAAATAGCCATTGTTTTAGATATCTATATACTTAAAAAACAAAGTTTAGGGCTGGAGAGATGGCTCAGTGGTTAAGAGCACTGACTGCTCTTGCAGAGGACCCGGGTTCGATTCCCATTACCCACAGGGTGGCTAAGAACTGTCTGTAACACAGGTTCTAGGGGATCAATACCCTCTTCTGACCTCCTATGAGCACTGCACGACTCAGGTGCGCCTATCTATATGCAGGCATTACACTCATACACATAAAATAATTTTAAAAAGACAAAAAGCAGGGGCTGGAGAGATGGTTCAGCGGTTAAGAGCACTGACTGCTCTTGCAGAGGACCCAGGTTTGATTCCCAGCACCCACATAGCGGCTACGAACTGTCTTAACTCCAGTTCCAGGGGAATCCGAAGCCCTCTTCTGACCTCCGCAGCATTGCACACACAAGTGCACTCATATACATGCAGGCAATGCACTCATACACATAAAATAAAAATAATAAATATAATATTTTAAAATAATAAACTGCATAAAAAAGACAAAAAACACACACATACAAAAAAAAAAAAACAGTTTAGGGACTGGAGAGACAGCTCAGCAGTTAAGAACACTGTCTGCTCAGCTGGACGTGGTAGCACACACCTTTAATCCCAGCACTTGGGAGGCAGAGGCAGGTGGATCTCTGTGAGTTCAAGGCCAGTCTGGTCAACTTAGTGAGTTCCAGGGGCTACAGGGAGACCCTATCTCCAAAAAAAAAAAAGAACACTCGATTCTCAACACCCACCTGGCGGCTAACAACCATCCATAACTCCAGTTCCAGGTGATCTGATGTCTTCTTCTGACCTCTGTGGGCACCACATGACACGGGTACACTTTCATACATGCAGGCAATACACTCATATACATAAAAATAATAAATTTTTTTAAATTTAAGTATTATGGGGCTGGCTTAAAAGGCAAAAGCAAAACTCATTATCAATAAGCAAAATGTAATAAACAAATAATAAATAAGCTTTTAAAACTGCCTATAACTCCGGTGCCAGGGGATCCAGTACCCTCTTCTGACCTCCATAGACACTGTAGGACACAGGTACACTTACATACATGCAAGCAATACATTCATACACTAAAAATAAATAAAATATTTTTTTAAAGTTTAAGTATTATTAGAGGTGAGTATAACTTTGGATGGTTATACAAGTATCTCTGCAATAGGATGAGTCCTTTGAGTATATGCTAAGGAGTAACCTGGTCATATGGTAGGTTCATTTTGTTTTTCAAGAGTTCTCCACACTGAATGTGTATGTGTAGCTGTGTATGTGTGACCGTGTTTGTGTGTGACTGTATATATGCAATGAACAGTGTGAACACTTTTACACTTTGACTTGGAAATTCTACTTTGTGGGCTCCTTCCTATAAATATGGATCAGAAAACTCAACAGGTTGTAGAAAAAATGGAAAACTAGCTGGGCCTGGTGGCGTAGGCCAGTAATCTCAGCTACTCTGGAAGCTGAGGCAGAAGGACTGCCAGTTCAAGGTGTGCCTGAGCTGCATAGCAAGCTCAAAGTCAGCCTGGGTAACTTAGTGAGACACACTGTCTCAATAAAAAGCTTTAAAAAAGGACTAATGATGTCGCTCAGTAGTAGAGAGCTTGCCTAGCATGTGTGAGGCCCCAATACAGCAAACAAAAATGAAATTTGAGAACCCAGCCCTTATTCACCACGGTACAAAGTCCATGCCTATGCTGCTCCAGATTGAGGACATGAGTGAGTATGACAGAGACTTAGCATGCTCCACAGAACGGCAGTCACCCCTGGATCATGTGCAGCCCATCCTTCCTCTCCCTGTCTCTACTTCCCCTGGGCAGTTCTGTCAGAACTGCCACTCTGTCTACAGACCAGCCCCAACTCCTCTGACCCCGTCACCAGCTCTTGTCTGTCCATTTTCTGCTCAAAGACAGAGGATGGCCAGTCTCTGCTGCTTAGAGTCTCAGTGTGATCACTATACTGAACCTCAGGTTCTCTTGGGGCACACAATTGCCTAGAAGTGACCTTGGGAAGGCAAAGAGCTCACTGAAGAGTCCACACCCAACAATCCCTGCAGGGTCCCACTCCTTGCAGTGGGGTCACCTGAGGCTTATACATCAATGATCTGATGCTGGAGCTAAGACCCTGGTGCTGTGTCAAGGGTGGGAAGTCACACACCCACCTGGCCCCACTCATAGGGGCAAGAAGGACAAGATTGCAACATGGCCCAGGGGCCTTAGAAAAGCTCAACATGGCCATTTGAGTGAGCCCCGAGCCCCAGTCTGCTTTAAGGAGTCAGAGCAGCAACCCAGGACAAGTGGGGGTGATGGACTCCTCCCTGAGCCATGCAGCCCCTCAAAAGCTCTATTTCTGTGCAGAGTTACAACCTCTGAGACCTCTACTGCAGGAGTGACCGTGTTGTCATGGGAGCCAGTTCCTGAGCCCGATGTCTGTGAGTTCAGGGTGGACAATCTCATGGAGTTCATACATGCAGAGTCTGGTCCATGGCCTGGAAGAGAAGGCAGTTCCCTTAGCAAGTGGGGAGGGAATTCATCAGCCCCTCCTTATCCAAAAGTGGGCTGGAGGCTCCAGTGCTGAACATGGGGGTGGGGCCATTCCTCTTAGGGGCACCCTTGGGCTGGGGAGGAGATAGGAGGAAACTAAGTGAAAATAAACACACAGAGAATTTCTGCCTGGCTCTGTCTAGCCAAAGCTGTCCCTGTCCACCTCCTGCCCTGACCTTTGTCCTCCTCAGGGGAAGAGTTGATGTTTCTCTGTCCTATGCCCCATTCTCTCAGATTTGACTAAGAGATGAGGGGACTATCAGCCCCAGAAAGGGACTGTGTGGGATTCTGGGGTTCCTGAGCTTCCTAGAGATAGTATGTCAATCAGGAACAAGTGGAAGCCAGGCTTTGAAGGCACTGGGGTTGAGACCCAGGGAGGGCATTTCTGAAGGGCAAGAGCAGGACAGAAGATAGAGCACCCAGCACACCCACCCTTAGCCAATACTCACCTGGACAGGTGCTCTTCATAAACCCACATATTTTCTTCCATACTTGAGTCTTCCAAATAAACAGGACGACCAGAGCTATGATTAGGACAACGGAGAGGACTATGAAAAGCCAAAGTATGTAAGTCTCCTGGGAGGTGTTCGGAGAGGGTCCAGTGGTATTAGTATAGGATTTTTTACACTTCCGGTCTCCCCATGGGGTACAGGAAATCTCTTCAGTCTCATTGTTGGCACACCTGAGTACACACAGGGAAGAAATGATGAGATTCCATGAGGTGGCTGTTGGCCAGATGTGATGAGAGAGCCATCCTTTTTGCCCAGCATTCCTGCAGAGGTGGTAGAGAAAGAACAGGCATGTCATGTCTGCTGGGGTTTTCACACCCCAAACTTGTCCCTACATCTGGATATACGCAGTGCAACCCTTGGGGTCTCCTCCGTAGGTGTGGCTGCATCTTCTGGCCATTTCTGCAGGGTGTGTGGTGACTTGTCCTGGGCTACAGGGTGACCCCAAGTTAGGAAGGGGAAGCTTGGACACCCATGTGGCCACTACTGAGCCCTTTAATAAATAGACCTTCCAGGGCTGGAGAGATAGCTCAGCAGTTAAGAACACTGGTTGTTCTTGCAGAAGACCCAGGTTTGAATCCCAGCACCCACATGGCAGCTAACAACTGTCTGTAACTCCAATTCCAGGGGATCCGACAGCCTCTTCTGTCCTCTGAGGGCATTGCATGACACGGGTGCACTTACCTACATGCAGGCAATACACATGTACACATAAAAATAATAAACAAGGGGCTGGAGAGATGGCTCAGTGGTTAAGAACACTGTTCTTACAGAAGACTGGGGTTTGAATCCCAGTACCCACATGGCAGCTAACAACTGTCCAAAACTCCAGTTTCAGGGGATCTGATGGCCTCTTCTGTCCTCCGTGGGCATTGTACGACAAGGGTACACTTACATACACTCAGGCAATACACGCAGACACATAAAAAATAAAATAAAATATTGAAAAAAAATTTTTAAATAGTCCTTCCTATCAATCATAGCAAACACCAGGCAGTTAGGGAAGAGTAAATTAACTATTTACCCTGAAGCAGGGGGTCAAGACATGTCTTACTGGGGGGACAAGGTTCTGGGGTGAGGCTGGCTGAGCTGGCTCAGGTCCCTCTGAGGACTTGGGGGAGCCACACACATAGCCTTATTTTGCTTTTTGCTGTCTACGGGAAAAACGTTTTTGTCTTCACAGGCCTCTGCCTGCATAAGAATTCAAACTTACTACTGAAGTGGTATATAAATAGACAGGCTGTATGCTATTCATCCTGACCTTTTCAAAAGGAACTAAAGCAGATTCCTGGGAATCTCAAAGTCTCACAGGCCCTAAGGCCTGCTTTCCTATAGTCAGTAGACAAGTAACCTAGCCAAGGGGACAGGAATGGGTGCCAAAGACTGGGAAGGGGTTGCTGATTGGCAGGGGACAAGAACAAGGGAGAGACTTGCAGATGGACCTGAAGGGGCTACTGCAGGGTCAGAAAGTGCCAAGGGTACAGGGCTACCCTGTGGGGGCTCCATGGAGTCAGGGGAAAGAAAAGGGTACAAGGAAGCTTGGGTCTTCTGGAATTCCCTGGACTGGTAGAGTTCCTCTTCCGGGCTCCTGGGTCTTACACAGTGCATTTCCGGCAGTGCTCAGGGTCCTGTTTTCCTCTGAAGGTACCTGGCTTACATTCACACTCTGTGTTTCTGGTTGTGGTACACTGGCTTTTCTGGACTTGATCTGGAGACAGAGAATAGTTTGGGGGGAGTTTCCCTGGTTACCGTGATGCACTTCATACAGTCCCCTTCCCCTTCAGCTCAACTGAACTTAGGAGGTAATTCTGAGGGCCAGTTCCTACAGCAACACATCGGCTGAAGATGGCACGCAGAGGATGGCTGCTGTCAGCTGCTATGAGTTCTTGGAGCCATAAAAAAGGACTTGATGTATCGCATTTGGAGGGTAAAGTCTTTTAGATTGTAAGGATAGGTACGAATGGCAGAAAGAGAAGACCTTTGGGTGACCTCTCAAAAGCCTGGCTCTGCTGAGGAGAGAGGAGTTTTGAGAAGTGGAAGCTGAAAGAGCTCACACCTGCCAGGAGCCCAGACCCTAGAGGAAGAGAGCCAGGTCTGAACCAGCTGGGAGCCCAGCCCTGTCCCTCCTTGTCTTATGTTACTGATGGTGATGGTCAGTCTCAATAGCCAACTTAATGAGATCCAGAATCATCTGGGAGACAGGCCTCTGGACATGCCAGGAGCCCAGACCCTAGAGGAAGAGAGCCAGGTCTGAACCAGCTAGGAGCCCAGCCCTGTCCCTCCTTGTCTTATGTTACTGATGGTGATGGTCAGTCTAAATAGCCAACTTAATGAGATCCAGAATCATCTGGGAGACAGGCCTCTGGACATGCCTGTGGGGGATTATCTTGATAAGGGTAACTGAGGTAGGAAGACACACATACTGTGGGTGGTACCTTTCCCTGGACTAGGATCCCAAACTGGATAAGGAGAAAGTGAGCAGAGCTCTCATCACCCTCTGTGAATGATGGGACCAGCTGCTTCAGGCTCCTGCCACCTTGACTTCCCTGCCTTGAACTGTGGGCCAAAACAGATCCTTTCTCCTTTAAGCTGTTTTTCTGAGTGCTTTATTACAGCAACAGCAAAAGAAACTAAAACACTGACCTAAGATCTAAACACTTTAGCAGGTCCAAGATGGGAGAGATGAATGTGTAGTGGAGTTTTACAGAAGGTTCTGGAAGGAAAGGCCTCAGGTCTCACCAGAAGAGAAAGGCAGTCTATACTGAGAAAAAGGTGATGGGACCTGAAGGTCAGGATAGAACACAGAATACCACCTGCAGATGGAGGCTGGCCACAGGGACAGAGAGGATGCTCAGGGTGGCTCTTTTCCTTTCTAGGAAAATCCCTTTGACTTACACTGTGACTTCCACTCCTGGCAAATTCAAAGCAGACCACCGCTTGTGGTCACTCAAAATCTGCCAATGGGTCCCATATCCCTAGCAGAGTTGAGAAGACTCATGCTGGACCTAGAATGAAATTATGCCCTACTTCCAAATGTGCAGGGCTCTTTATCCCCAATTCTGGAACCCTGGCTAGAGATCTCTTTGCCACTTAGAAGCCTGTATCTATCCTTCAAGGCCCAGCTCTAACATTCTGTGCTCTCTGGAGTGCTACGATTCCCTGGGACAATTGTCCTTTTCTCCACTATAGCCCATCTCGCTTGTTTAGCCATTTGAGGCTGGCTCCAGGGAACTGTCTTTGAGGTTTCTGAGTAAATATCAGCTATGACCCCCCCCCACCTCCCCATACCCCACCTGCAGGACGGCCCCTTGGTTCTGTACCGTCTTTACAGATTTTGCAGGGTATGCACGACTTCAAGTTATTGGGATAGCTGGTGAAGCCTACACCATCTTCGCATGGCTTGCAGCGTCCATCCTCCTCTAGGTACTGGCCTGGGGAGGGAGAGGAAGCTGGTGAAGGAAACATCAAGATTCCCAGAGTTGCAGAAGACCTGGGACCTCCTATACTCACTAACAGTAAATTTCAGACAGGGAAATCCAGTCTACTTGGCCTTCATCAGGCTATTAGTTCTGCATCTACTACATACTTGGACCAGTACTGCTGACCAAAATACATACAAGACACATAGAAGATTCAAGTTCAGTGTTCACAGTAATAGTCAAAAGAATAAAGTCGCCGGGCCTGGTGGCGCATGCCTTTAATCCCAGTACTTGGGAGGCAGAAGCAGGAGGATCTCTGTGAGTTCCAGCCCAGCTGGGGTTACAAAGAGACCCTGTCTCAAAAAAAAAAAAAAAAAAAAAAAAAAAAAAGAATAAGGTCTGTTGAGTGTGGCAGTGCACACCTGTGACCTCAGCACTCAGGATAAAAGATAAAGACAGAAAAATCAGGAGTTCAAGGTCATCTTCAGCTACAGAGTTTGAGGAGAGCCTGGGCTACACAAGACTCTGTCTCAAAAACAAACAACAATAAAAAAGAATAAGGTTACAGGCTAGCAAGATGGCTCACTGGGTAAAGAAACTTGCTGCCAAGCCTGAGAGCCTGAGTTCCATCACTAGGACCCACATAGTGGAAGGATAGAACCAACTCCCAAAAGAAAGTTTTCTCTCACCTTCACACCTGTACCATGGCACATACATGTGCAAACATATACAAATAAACGTAATTTTTAAAAAAGAATTTCAATTTAATTTTAACTTTTTTTGAAACAGGATCTTACTACATAGCCCTAGGCTGGCCTGGCACTAGATATATAGACCAGGCTGACCTGGAACTCACAGAGATCCTCTTGCCTCTGCCTCCCAAGTGTTAGGATTAAAGGTGTGTGTTAAGACACCTGGTCTTAGCAACGTACCTTTTGATCACTAAATGTTATCCAAATAAAATGTTATCATTTCAACATGTGGTCAATATATAATAAAACACAAAGATACTTTACTTTTTTAGTATTAGATGATCATAATTCAGAATGCATTTTTCACTTATGACATATGGCTAAGGAGTATTCCATTTTAAGACACTGGAAGCAGTGTGAGACAGTGGCGAAAGAAGGAGATGTACACATGAAATTAACAAAGCAGAGACTAGAAAACAACTCAAGAGAGCTAATGAAACCAAAAGCCAATTCTCTAAACAGATCAACAAACTGACCCCAGCTAACTGTAGAAACAGAAAAGACTCAAACTACTAGAATCGGAAATAAGAGGCATCGCTACTGATCTTGCAGAAATAAAAAGAATCCTAGCACCTGGGGGACAGAGGTAGGTGGATCTCTGTGAGCACTTGGGAGACAAAGACAGGTGGATCTCTGTGAATTTGAGGATAGCCTGGTCTATATAGTGAGTTTCAGGCCAGCCAAGGCTACATAGGGAGATCTTATCTCAAAATAAATAGGATTATGAAAGAATACTATGAACTTCTGCACATCAACAAAATAGGTAAGTTGTAAAATGGACAAATACCAGACCAGAGAGACAGCTCAGGGGCTAAGATCACTTGTTGCTTCTACAGAGGACCTGGGTTTGGTTCCCAGCACCCACATGGCAGCTAAGGACCATCAGTAAGACTAGTTTCAGGGGATCCAATGCCCTCTTCTGGCCGCTGCAGGCACCAGGAATGCACATGGTGCACTTACAGACATGCAGGCAAACACTAATATACATAAGACAAATAAAAGAAACCTCAAAAAAAAAAAAAAACACTCATACACATAAAATAAATAAAATGTTTGTTTGTTTGGGGTTTTTTTTTTTTGTTTTCTTTTTTTTGTTTTTTTTAGACAGGGTCTCCCTGTAGCCCCAGCTGTCCTGGAACTCACTTTGTAGACCAGGCTGGCCTTGAACTCACAGAGATCCACCTGCCTCTGCCTCCCAAGTGCTGGGATTAAAGGCGTGAGCCACCACGCCTGGCTAAATAAAATATTTTTAAGTGAACAAATATCTAGAAAGGCAGACTATGGAAACCAACTCAAGATGAAGCAACTTGCTGCCTCTCTTCTCTCCTGCTGCACCACCGGCCAGCACTCCTAGGGCCTTAGGCCTGCATCGGTACCTGCCTGGGAGAGGCTGGTCTTCCACCTGAATAGCAGATAGTGTTCACCGTGGCAGAGCCTGTACAGTGGAGGAGTGGAAGGTACCACCATCTGCCCTCTGCATATGCCTACACCACCCTGCTGAGCTAGGTCCACCCGAACCTGCTGACTGCCCGCTCCATCCCTGGAAGGAGGCTGAAGCCATTGCCCAAAGGAAAGGAGCTGGCTTCTTAGAAGAAGGCCAAGAAGGAGCAGTGTATCTCTGTGTGGCTCTCCAGGTACAAGGAGTAGCAGCAATTGTAACAGGTCTGCCAGGCAGGAATGAGGATATTCTGAGACCCGTGTGTCTCTCCCTTTGGCTATCAGACTATTGAGACACCTCTCCAAGACATGGGAATTTCTCCAGGAATATGGCCCCCAGCCTGGTCCTGTTACTAGGATTATTAGGTTCAGAGACTGTGCTCTGGCAGCCCTAACATGATTGCAGGGCAGAATGGATCCATGACAATGACAGGTCAGTGATAGGCAGAATCGCACCCAGACCAGAGAGAGGGCTTAGCTATGCATCACTCTGGATCCCTACTAAACTTAAACTTCATGTCAGGACCCCAAAGATGGGACTTGGGGCATCACTGAACCTCTTTGTCTCTCTTTTCAATATGGCTACATTGAATAAATCTCCTTTTTCTAAATTTAAGTATTAATTTGGCTCTTTTAATTGATTTAATAATAATAATAATAATTATTATTATTATTATTATTATTATTATTTTGGTCTGTTTGAAACCAGGTCTCCCTGTAGCCCCAGCTGGCCTGGAACTCACTATGAAGATCAGGCTGGCCTTGAACTCACAGAGATCCACCTGCCTCTGCCTCCCAAGTGCTAGGATTACAGGCGTGTGCAACCACACCCAGGTGCTTAATTATTTTAAAAAAATTTTTATTATTTTATGTGTATGAATGTATTGCCTGCATGTATGTAAATACACTCATATAATGTCCACAGAGGTCAGAAGAGGGAATTGGATTCCCTGATACTGTAATTACAGATAGTTGTAGGCTGCCATATGGGTGCTGGGAACTGCCATGTGGGTGCTGGGAACCAAACGTGGGTTCTCTGCAAGAGCAGTTAATGCTCTTAAGTACTGAGCCATCTCTCCAGCCCCCATTAATCAGCTTATTATTAAGGACAGTGGTGGAGTCTGGCTTGTTAGGGCTGCCAGAGCACAGGCTCTGAACCTAATAATCCCAGTAACAGGACCAGGCTGGGGGCCACCAAAACTTCCAGGAAGAACTGAGATGAGTGTGAAGATTTTGAACACAAGCTGGTTGAGCATAGTGCACGCAGAATTTAGTACACTGTGTTTACATGCAAATAAGCAAACAAGAACTGGATAGCAGGGTAGGGACTCAATGGTAATCACTTGTCTGGTGTGGGAGGCCTTAGGTTCAATCCCTAGAACAGACCAAAAGAACCAAACCCATAAGCCGTCCTAACCCCCACAAAAGGAACATAGCCACGTGTAAATTAAAAAAAAGCTGGGGTGGGGGTGGGAGACTGGAGAGATGGTTCAGTGGTTAAAAGCACTTGCTGCTCTTGCAGAAGCCTGAATTCAGTTCCCAGCACCCACACGGGGGGGCGGGGGGGGACGGACTCACAACTGCCTGGAACTCCAGCTCCAGGGGATCTTAGGCTCTCTTCTGGCCTGTGTGGGTGTCCACATGCATATTCACATACAAACACACATACGCATAAATAATAAACTTCTAAAAAAGTAAAGAAACTAGGCCCCTACCTGGCACTACATACAAAAATTAACCCAAAATAGATCAAATACCTGAATGGAAGAACAAAACCTATTAAACCCAGAAAACATGGAGACAAATCTTCATGACCTTTTGTGTTGTTTGTTTTGAGACAGGATCTTACTATGTAGCCCTGGCCTAGAACTTGCTATGTAGACCAGGCTAGCCTGGAACTCACAGAGATCCATCCGCCTCTGCCTCTAGAGTATTGGGATTAAAGATGTGTGTCACCATGCCCAATCTAGGTATTTAAACATACAGGGCAGTGGCGCTACATACATTCACATTGTTGTATGACAGATATCTAGAACTCTTTTCAGCTTGCAAAACTGAAAACCTGTACCTATTAAAAAAAAACAAAAACAAAAACTAAAACTAAAACTAAAACACCCCAAACCTTATTCCTCCACCCACCTCCCCACACTGGTAACCACCATTCTGCCTTCTATTTCTATCAATATGACTAATCTAAGTACCTCACAGTTGTTGTTCTGCAAGGAACAGAAAACTCAAAGAACATGGAGACGTGGGGAGGGGGGCAAAGAGTAGAGATCAATCTAGAATGTACCTGCTGGACATAGTCTTTCTGTGGCGTTCTGTTCCAATCCCTGTACGTGAGGGATTGGACTGGTTGTTACTGGAACAAAGAGATTCTGTGGGAACAAAGCAGGAACTAGTATAAGTATAGTGGCTTTTGGATCTCACCATCACAAGGCCAGTCTCCTGTTCTCTTCCCTCAAAACTAAACAGAGCTTAGATCCTTCACCGTTTTTAAAACTGTTTTCTGTCTGTAGTCATGTTCAGCTCTTTGCTTCTCAAAGCGTACCCCAGTAATAGAAACCTGAAAAACTTTTATTTTTTTCTTTTTTTGAATAAAAGTTTTTGTTCAGACAGCAAAAAGTTGTTAATAAAAAATTACATTTTCAGCCGGGTGTGGTGGTGCACGCCTTTAATCCCAGCACTCCAGGAGGCAAAGGCAGGCAGATCTCTGTGAGCTCAAGGCCAGCCTGGTCTACATAGTGAGTTCCAGGACAGCTAGGGCTTCATGGAGACCCTGTCTCAAAAAGACCAAAAAAAAAAAAAAAAAAAAAACCATTTTCTGGGGCTGGAGAGACGGCTCAGTGGTTAAGAGCACTTACTGCTCTTCCAGAGAACCTGGGTACAGTTTCCAACACCCACATGGAGGCTAACACTTACCCGTAACCCCAGTTCCAGGGAATCCCACACCTTCTTCTGGCCTCTGTGGGCACCAGGCATACATGTAGTGCACTTAACACACATGCACATAAAATAAATAAAATTTATGCAGCAGTAGTGGCGCACGCCTTTAATCCCAGCGCTTGGGAGGCAGAGGCTGGCGGATTCTCTGTGAGTTCGAGGCCAGCTTGGTTTAGAGAGTGAGTTCCAGGCAGCTGGAGCTACAGGGAGACCCTGTCTCAAAAAGACGAAAAAATAAAAAATAATAAAATAAAATCTTTTGAAAAAAATTACATTTTCTCAGCTTGGTTTAGAGAGTGAGTTCCAGGCAGCTGGAGCTACAGGGAGACCCTGTCTCAAAAAGACGAAAAAATAAAAAATAATAAAATAAAATCTTTTGAAAAAATTACATTTTCTCAACTAGAAATGGCATCTGCTAATATCTTGTCTCATTTCTTATGTAGCTCTAGTAAACAGGTGTTAATATTCTCTCTCCATCATACACCCCCCCTGCCCCCCACCCCACATTTTAAGATGCAGTCAACGGCCAGGGAGATGGCTCGATGTGTAAAGCACCTTCCACACAAGCATAATGATCTGAATTCAGATCCCCAGAACTCATATAAAGTCAGCTGCAGCTGGGCATGGTGGCACGCACCTTTAATCCCAGCACTTGGCAGGTGAATCTCTGTGAGTTTGAGGTCAGCCTGGTCTACATAGTGAGTTCCAGGCCATCCAGGGCTACATACAGAGATTCTGTCTCAAAAAAAAAAAAAAAAAAAAAGTCAGGCACAGTGGTGCACATCTGTAATCCAAGGGGTCCTATGGCAAAATGAGAAGGGGAGACAGGGGAATCCGCAGAGCTTGAGGATCAGCTAGCAACATATTCAGCATCGAACAACAAGAGATCCTGTCTCAAAAAGGTGGGAGGCCGGGACTGTACCTGAGGCTATCTTCTGACCTCCACCAGTCTACCATGGCATAGCACTCACACAAATGTGTGTGCATGTACATAAAGAAAAACAGAGCAGATATACATGAGGTAAAACTTAACATCTTAATCATTTTAAGCATACAGGGCAATGGTGCTAAGTACATTCACACTGTTGTATGAAAGATATCTAGAATTCTTTTCAGCTTGCAAGACTGAAAGTCTGTACTCATAAAAAACAAAACCCCAAAAACTGATTCCTCCACCCACCTCCCCACACTGGTAACCACCGTGCTGCTTTCTATTTCTACCAATATGACTAATCTAATCTACGTACCCTCATCAGAGTGGAATCAGACATTATCTCTTTGTGACTGCTCTAGTTCACAGCACAAGTCTCCTGGTTCTTCCATACTGTTCCACGTTAAATTGTCCTTCTCTTAGCAGGCTGTGTAACACCACACTGTATGTATTACATTTTGTTCATCCATGCATTTGTTTATGGAGTTGGATTTCTTCTAATACTGCTATGAACACGAGTTTATAAAATCTCTGACCCTGCTTTCAATTTGGGGAACATTCCCAGAAGTGGAATTGCTAGATCACAGGCCAATTTTAATCATTGGAGGGCAAACCTGTTCTTCATTTTTTCTTGTTTTGTTTTGAGAAAAGGTCTTCCTATGTATCCCACAAGGGTTCCATTTCCCCACCTCATCGAAAAACCTGTTCTTCATTTTTTCTGGTTTTGTTTTGAGAAAAGGTCTTCCTACATAGCCCAGACTAGTCACAAAATCACTATGCAGATCAGAGTAAATCAGTCTGACCTTGAACTCTCTATCCTCCTGCCTTAGCCTCCCAAGCAGTGCCACCACCCTTGGCTTGATACTCATTTAATAGAGCATCCTGGTGGGTGTGAGGTAATACATCTCCTTGTGGTTTGGGCTTACATTTCCCACTTAGTGATGCCAAGCATTTCTGTGTCTGTGCGTCTGTTGGTCATTTGTAAATTTGGAGAAATGCCTTTACACATTTTTGAATTAGGTTGTTGCTTTTCTCATTGCCATGAATTACAGGAATTTTTTGTATTGTCTTGTTATCAATAACCTATCTCTTATCTTTTCCCATTTGGTAGATGCCATTTGTTTCACTCTAATGATCTCTCTCTCTCTCTCTCTCTCTCTCTCTCTCTGAATTGTGGCAATTACTATGCAAAGCCAAATTACAGTTAGGCCTGAATAAAAACAGCCTGATTCTTAGCATTTATTTTAGTCAAGAGGATCCAAACTGCTCTGAGCACCTGTTCCTCCAGCTCACTCTCGGACCTGTGTTCATAAACCAGGGAATGTGGATGGAAGTCAGAGGGTAACCCTCAGGAGTTGTTTTTTCCTTCTACCGTATGAGTACCCAGGATTAAACTGAGATCATCAGGCTTGACAGCAGGAGCCTTGACCAGTTGAGCCATCGGACCAGCCTGTTTTACGTTTTGTAAAGATGCTTTTTAATCCAGAATTTCACTTTAATTTTTTAACTTACCATACAAAGGAACGGGCTTCACTGTGACATGTTCTTACATGTCTATCATTACACTTTTTTCTTATTGTCTCACCGCACCCCACCCCCCGACACTCTGCCCTGCTTGCTGGTCTCCTTTACCCATCTAAGCCTATAATTCCAGCATTTGGGAGGTAAAGGGAGAGGATCACAAGTTCATGGTCATCCTCCATACTATGGCAAGTTGAAGGCCCGCCAGGGACACTTGAGATCCACTTAAAACACAAAACAAGGGGCTGGAGAGATGGCTCATAGGTTAAGAGCACTGGCTACTCTTGCAGAGGACCTGGGTTCAGTTCCTAGCAACCCCATGGTGGCTAACAACCGTCTATAACTCCAATTCCAGACTACAGTTCCAGGGGATCTGACATCCTCTTCTGACCTCCATGGGCATGGCACAACATGGGTGCACTTACATACATGCAGGTAATCATACACATAAAATAAAAATATAAATAAAATATTTTTAAAAACAAAACAAGATGGGTCAGTGAGTATTAGTCCCAAGACTGCTCTGATGCACATATCCCTGGATCTTTATTTAAACTTTAATTTCCCTTCAGGACCCCAAGGAGGGACTTGTGGGGGCTGTCCACTGGATCTCTTTGTTCTTCTTCCCAATGTGGTCACATTGAATAAATCTTTTTCTCCTTTTTACCATTTTTACTATTCATTTGACAGTGGGGCTGGGGAAGAACCCCACTGTCTGCTTCCTGACTAGAGATGCAATGAGACCAGCTTCCAGCTCCTGCTGCCAAGCCCCGCCCCCGTCATGACAAAATGTAGCCCCTCAAACTAAGTTAGAATATATCCTTCTTTCCTTTAATTGTGTCTTGTAAGGTACTTGATCATAACAAGTAGAAAAGCAAATAACACATGAAAGATGTGCCTAAAGTCAACAGGTGAAAAGAAATGACCTGGGAGGACAAGGTAAGGAAGTAGAGGGAATAACTGACCCTTATAACCCCGCCCCACCCCTTGCAGTTATTGGCAGAGCCTCGCTGCTAAGCTGCTCACTGACTTCCAGTTCACAGTGCTCTTTCTGTCTCTCCACCTCCTGTGTGCTCTCTCTCCACTGATCTCTCCTGTCTCTCTCTCTCCTCTCTCTCCCTCTTTTCTAGGTCCTCTCTGTCTTCTAACGGAGTGTTCTCTCCCGTCCTCTACCTCCTCTCTCTATCTGCCTTCTTTATCTACTGTCCCCCAGTGTCCTCTTTCTCCTCCATCCCTTTCTTCTCTCTCCCCTCCCCTCCTTCTGTCTCCTTTCTGTCTTCGCTCTCCTCCTCTTCCTCTCCTCTCCTTCCCACCCCTCTCCGATCTGTCTGCTCTTTTCTCCTGTCCTCCCCTTTGGTCCCTCTTCTCATGACTCTCCTGTCCTCTCCATCTTTCTCCTCATCTGTTCTCTCTCTCCTGTCTGCACCCTCCCCTCTCCTCATGTCCCTCCTCTCTTCCTTTCTCTATTTCTCTCTCTCCTCCTCCTTGCCTTCCCCTCCCATCTACTCTCTCCATCTGCCTTTCCTCTCTCTTTTCTGTCTTCTCCCCCTCTATCTTTTCTACTCATCTCCCCCCTCCTCTCTCTCTAGCTCTTTTACTTTCTCATCTTTCCCACTTTTCCCTCATTCTCTCTGTGCCCCCCCATCTCTCTGGCTCTTCTGTCTCAACCTCTGCTCTCCCCTCACGTCCTGTCTTTTCTCCTGCCATCTCTCACCTCCGTTCTCTTATTTTCATGTCTTCTCTCCTTCCCCCTTGTCTTCTCTATCCTCTGCCCCTTCCCCTCTTCTGTCCTGTCCTCTCTCCCCCCTCTTCTCTGTCCCCCCCCCTTACCTTTCCTCTCCTTTTTCTCTTCTCTCCCATCTCCTTCTCCGATGTTTCTTTTCTCTCATGTCCCCTCCTCCCATGTATCTCTCTGGTCTCCCCTCTCTTCTCTCCCCTCCCCTCCCTCTGCCTCTCCTTTCTCTCTCCTGTCTCTCTGACCTCTCCTCTGTTCTATGCTGCCCCCTTTCCCTCCTTTCTCCCATCTCTCATCTCTCCCCTCAGGAATCTCTCTCCTGTCTCTTTTCTCTCCCTCACTGACCTCTTTCCTCTTTTCTCTCCTCTTTGTCTTTCTCTCGTTTTCTCTCCTCTCTCATCCCCCATCTCTCTCTCCCACCCTTCCTCTCCCTCTTTTCCATCTTGCGCCTTCCTGAAGCTGCTGAGATTCCAAGGTGGCAAAGCCTTTTTACTCTTCCTAAATCCAAGAACCTGCAAAAGAGTGTGACAGTGTGCACAGGATCATCTGCTCAGCAGATGAAATCTGGGCAGACCTCCACCCCAGCTGAGGTGCTATAGGCATCTGACAGGTGCTGGTAGTCTGTTTTCTTTAAGGGCATGACCCCTGGCAGGTCTACCACACTCCAGGGCAGGCTCCACACTCAAGAGTGTTTGGGCAACACAAACTGGACTTTATAGGACCCCATAAAGTTGGGTGGCTAGGAAGGTGGGGGGCTGATCTGGGGGGAGTTAGGGGAGGAGGGAATATGATCAGAAAACATTATTTGAAACTCTCAAAGGATTTATTAAAATATTTTTAAAGGGAGACAGTCAGTGTAAGTCACTGCATGTTTGTACAAGAATGTTCACCAAAGACTACAATTTTTTTAAAGACATAAATCCCAAGCAAACCTAAAGCATAGAACTACTCAATAGTTTTGATTCTGAATCAAGTGACTCTCCACTCTGGAACTACTGATAAATGGCATGGGGTGCTCAATTGGCATGTGGTCATTTATCATCCATTAGAAAATCTCTTTTGCAAGTGTCATCATGAGAAGTTTCAGTAGTGAGAACATTCTTAGCGTCTCCTTCTAATCTATGCTGTGACTCTCAGCTTCAAGGGGATGCTTACCAGTTAGTAAAGCAAATCACAATCTGAAATATGCCCAGAAAAAAGCATCTCTGAACCATTATAAAAAAAATCTAAATTCAATATAGTAAAATATTAAAATTTGGCAGTTGAGTAGTGTATTACAACTTTTATATATTACTTCCAATGCAACTCTATGAGCTTTAAATAGTTCAAATAAAAAGTAGATTTTATGTATGTTCACCAAGTCAGGCTTCCTTCCTTAACCCTGGAGATGTGCGCGGGAGGCCGCTGGCCAGCAGCAACTGGACAGACCCAGCTTCAAGGTGGTGCCCTCATCTCCCGTCCGGCTGGGAGTCACACACATACACCCCGGCGCCCCCGTTCAGGTCCTTCCCGGGTTCACCCTCCCCCGGCCCACAGTCCCCCGGCCCCTAGCTCACCCTTCCCGGGTTCCTTTCTCTTCCCTGGCCCACCTTCTCCCCGCTCCGTCGGGTCCTTCCCGATGCCAGCACCCGCCTGCTCACCCTCCTCCCGCCAGGAGCGCGTCCTTCCCCGCCCCACCTTTCCTCGGCCTACCCTTCCCTGGCCGGTTGCTCGCCCTTCCCCCAGTTCCCCATCCCCCGCACCCAGTGCGCGCCGTTCGTTCCCGCCTTCCCCCAGCTCGGTGTGCGCCCTTCCCCGGTCCCCCTTCCCCCGGCCCGGTGCGCGCCCTTCCCCGGTACCCCTTCCTCCCGGCCCGGTGCGCGCCCTTCCCCTTCCCCCGAGCCCGGTGCGCGCGCT